AGCACACCTGGTCTGGTTGACTACAGCAGAAACAGTGAGTTCACAGCAGCACAAACACACACTGGGTGTGTCCTCTGACCCAGAGACAAACAAATTTTCACACTCTCTCACACACTCTGCTTTCTTTCTCTCTCTCTCAGTTTCTGTCTCACACATGTTTAACCCTTATGTTTGTTTCTCTGCCCCCTGGTGTAGTCTTTATCTCAATAAACTGTCTCAACTTTCATACTAGTCGTTTGTCATGTAGCTTCCCTCTCTCTCTGTCTGTCCCTTACTCCACCCACCTGCGGCTACAACTACTTCCTGGAATGTCGTCACTTTCAAGGGCAGCTTGTGTGACAAGGAACACACTCACACACATATAAAGGAGGAACTATACTTTTGCCTTGAACTGACTCAAATAGCCTAAATTATTTTTCATCCTTTATTCTATTCCATTACACTTTATTTCTTTCTAGCTTTAGATAAAAACCCTGCTTTTGTCCCTCTTAGATGTCACAGAATATCTTGTTAAACTTATTGGTATTACTGCAATTCATAGATTTTACTTCCATATATCAGAAATATAGCCACTTAGATTATTAGTAGGGACCTAATATAATAATTTAAGAACCAATCATTGGAAAAACCTATATTGATGAACCGCAAACCTGAATATTGTTGGGAACGTGTCCCCTTCAGTGTCTTTGGTGGTTATGGTCCTGGGTCATATTTTAACAAACTCTGAAAACATACTTTCAGAAATCCAAACTTCCTTCCTAGTCCACAGAGACTTTTTATTTAAACTAATATGCAAGATGACTCACTTTTTGACTTCAGACAGACATATTTCAACACTCGACTGCCCGTATTTACATCAACAACGTCTTGTCTGTGTTCATAGAGTAAGCTTATGAGGAAGTAGGATTTCTACTGTAAAATACCAGAAGGACTAATGATAATGATGTTTATTTTTAACCTCATTTAGTATATTATAGCATAGTATTAAAGGCACAGCAGCAAAAATGGCTTGCTCAGTTGTAACAATCAGAGAGCAAAACAATCATAAATAAACTAAGACTTTTTTGGATGAAAAAAAAAAAAAGATTAACATAAGTGGACATTAGCAGAAAAATATATAAATTGATCCCATTAAATATTTTCTGCATATTGATGGATTCCTGACTCTGCGCAGTTTGTTTAACACACAGTAATAATAATGTTAATAATAGTACATGTCAAGCTGTTAATTATTAATAATCATTAATGATTAATGAAGGATTATTTTTAAGGAATCACCTAGTTGCAAAGGTAAATTCCTGTTACTGAATCCAATCTTTGAGATCTCAGACTGCAAGAATAGCACTGAATAGGCTATTCTAGTGCAAGACAAAGAAATAAATAATTAATTTCTCATTTGGGTGAGCAAAGAGAAATGTGCAGATAAAATGCAACACGCACTCAGATTTATGTGAGTAATTGTGTCAAGTGTGAGACAGTGGGGTGAGATTCACTATCAGCATCTGTGCTTACCAAAGATGCACTTGCAGCCAGTGGCTCTGTCCTCTCCAGGCAGGGTTTGACTGTAATTGGTGTGTGTGTGTCGTGTGTGCTTCTGCTCTCTAACTTATGGTCTTCTGCATTTGATGGAGTAGTGTGTGTCAAAGTGTTTAAATGTTTCTCAGGTGGTTTGTCTGATGGTGTGTTTGTGGAGCTCAGGCTCTGATCACCCAGCCCTTCATCAGAGGTCATGACATTAGGTGAGGTCAACATGTCCTCTGTTTCTGTGGGTGGGGCTTGTGACTCTGAATGTTTTTTTGTGTTGTCTACGAGTGTCATGTGTGTGAGTGTGTCATTGGTGTGTGGCGTCTGTTCCCCCCTCCATGCACCCTGCTCCTGACACAGACAGAGAAAGAGAGAGACGAGCAAGTGTGAATTTTTTGTTGGAATTTATTTTTTTTTCAGACTTGAAAGGAGCATGATGGTAATCACACAGGAGGTATCAGAGGGAGAGATCAGGAGAACATGCACAAGTGTGTATAAGAGTCAGTGCGTTTACATGGCACAAAAAGACTAAATACTAAACATAAATAAACCATATCCTGCTATTCTTCTAATATTCTTGAGAAGGAAAAGGCTTACTTTTAGAGAATGTGTCATGTAAACACAATCATTCATGAAAAACAAATGAATCATAATACACATGCATTTAGACATAACTGTGCAGAGTGAGCAGCCATTGATTAACTGACTTTTAATGTTCACATTACATTTGTTTCACTCCACGAAACAAAATCTGTTCAACAATCCTTTCAGAGTAACCATCTTATCTTGCATTTAGATAAAAGAAACACTGCTATACAGAAACCAAAATAAATACATGCCATATAAAAGATTTTAGGATCTTTTTGGTATTATAGTATTGTATTTAGTAGTTAAACGTCAATGAGAAGATACCATGCAATGGTAAAATACACTGATTTTACTGCTTAACAAAAATCAAGACATTTAATGCAATAATTACAATTAAATGCAGAAAATAGTAATAATGAAAAGGTAATGAAAAGTAGGTGTCCACATTTTTGGCGGGTAGTACACAATGAAATTTGTAAATAAAATAATTTTATATCTATAGGAAACTGGCGGGACTTACTGTGCAGCGTATATAAAAAAATAGTGGTTTTGAAATGTTAAGGTGCGGTCATATTTATCGTTGCTCTGAGAAATTTTGTGGGTGAACTTTCTACTGAATTCATCACAGTGAACTTTGCCTGATGGACTTCTGGTGGCGAAATATTATTTCCCTATTCACAAAGTTGAAATTTATTTGGTTCATATTTGGTGAACTTTGACAATTCGTAGCACTGACCACTAGCAAGCCTCTTGGTTTGGCAGTGACTTCTGTGTGGGCAGAGATCTATATCATTGCCAAAGAGCAGATAGATCCACAACAAGGTGCTCATTCTGTCAGTGTCTATTCAGCCATTTTTCTATAACACTATACTTCAATATTATAAATACATGAATAAAACATCTGTTTAGAAATCAGTTATTTAGGGTTGGTTTGTTTGCTAGCTGGCAGAATAGATTCTTGGCAAAATTCAGTTGAGCAAGGCTAAGTGTGAAAACACCGTTATAATATAGTTGATTATAATAGGATCCAGTTTTATTGTGCAACACCACACATGTCCAGTATAGACATGGTATAACATGTAAACATTGATATTATGGAAATAGACAAAAGTTCAAAATGCTCTTTGGAATGATGGTACATTTACACCATATGGAACATTTGGTATAATGTTCTCTCTTGATCTGCAGAATATCCTGACAGAATTAATCAACATCATAAAAAATATTTGAAAAAATAATAAACTCCTCAGGAAGTCGCTTTAAGCCCTTTTTAAACATTGATTTGTTTGATTTATATAAAAATATTTAGCTTAATTTTACCCTTGTTTCGTTATTGTGAACTCAATTCTGAACTATTTGAAGAGATTCTCTCCTCAGAATTCTTTATTTTTTACACATCTGCCATGTAAATGCACTGGGAATAGAGTTCTAGCTCTAGAAACATCTACATCTAGGGGTGGTAGAGGTAGGAGTTAAGACATGGAGGTTCTGTAAGGAGAGAACTACAACTAGGAGACCAAACACCTCTGCTGGCCTCTGGAAGGGGACGTGGAGATCTCTGTAACAGAGGAGGTATTGGTTACCATGTCTGCAGGGAGAAACTGGCTTTCCACTGAGGCATCTGTTTCAGATAAAGCTTCTGATACACCTGCTCCTGAGGCCACAGATGTATCTGCTTCTACCTGCAAACACAGGGAAAAAGAGCTTACATACTCTGATATGATATCTGGCCACAGTTCCAAAAGACTACAAAAAGTTAAAAATCGTTTTAAGTGGCCACTTTACACTTTTTAAAGAACACAAATTAGATTTTTTTTCAGAGCTTGCAAGGCAGCAATGATTTTGCTCCTGAATATATTACACATACACATTAATGTGATCAAATTAAGAACGGCCATTACTATAGAGGTCTAGTGTTACCTTTGAGTTTGTTGCTTCTGCTTTCTCCAAAATCTGTTCTGTAGAAGAAACCACGTCAGCAGAAACTGAGTCCTGCACACACACACACAAAAAAAAACATTAATGTCTATCACATGATTGGTTACCCAAGACAGATTAAGTCTAGTATCAAACTGAAGAGTTTGCAAAATAAATTTATAAAGCTCCATATGTTGTGCATTATACTGATTTATCCATGGATAAGAGTTCTCTACATTGTGCCTATGAAAACCTCTTATGCATGACAGAATCATGGGATTGTATATGCATGTAACTCATGGTTTAGCAAAGGTACATCAATTGTTAAATTTTGAATAAAACAGATTTAAGCTAAACTCTATAAATATACTAATTATATTTTAGACCAAAATAAAAGTTAGATTTGCATAATGTTTAAAATTATTCATCACATGCCACATTTGCAAATGGAGATCACAGCACTTGTGATTCTCAAGTACAGGGAGTATCTGAAAAATAATAAATGCAGACTCAATGAAAGAATGGAGTCATACTGCCCCCTAGGGGCAATCAAACTGCACTGTTAAGAAAAGTCAAATCAGGATAATGTTTATATTAAACTGGAGGCGCAAAAACAAAAACAAACAAAAAAAAAACACTGAGATGTGACAAAGCAGAACTATGAACCATGTGATGGAAAGAGTAAGCATGTAGAAAACATGACAGTAGAAAGCAGAGGAAACATCAGGAGGTGTCCGGGGCTGAAGTCTCTGATCCCTCTGCATTACCTCCACAGTCATGCTGGAGGAAGCCTCAGAATTCAGAGAGGTGGGTGATCTTCCTCTTGCCTCCTCATCCTCATTTTTTACGCAATCTTCATAATCTTCATTGTCTTCATCTGAAGCATCTTCCTCTCCATCTCCTGGTTTATCAAAGAGCTCCTCCTCTTCCTCGGGCTCCTGCTGTCCCATCCCATCAGAGACACACACATGCACAGCAGCAGGCATGAACACAACCATGCAACCACAGATACACACATTGCATCAACTGGAGTTATGGAGATGTTTCCTCAGATAGACAGACAGAACAATAAAAACATTTACAGAAACAAACACTGTTGCTTTAAACAAATAATGTTCTTTTGTACTTTAATTTATCAAAGAATACTGAAAAAAGTAACATGGTTTCCAAAAAAAATTACCAGCAGAACCATTTTCATAACTGATAACAATAGGAAACGTTTCTTGAGCACCTAATCAGCATATTAAAATAATTTTTGAAGGATCATGTGACACGGAAGACTGGAGTAATGGCTGCTGAAAATTCAGCTTTGCCATCACAGATATAAATTAATCAAACATATTAATTTATATTAATAAATATGCATTTTTAAATACATTAAAACAGGGTTATTTCAAATTGTAATACTATTTCACAATATTGCGGTTTTTACTGTTTTACTGTACTTTGATCAAATAAATACATCTTTGGCTTTCTAACAGCTTATCTGTGCATTTATATAAATAGAAATGAACATTAATTTAAAAATACAAAGTAGATTATTGTACATTTAACATTTTTATAATAAATGTGGAAATAACTACAAGAATATGATTATTTTCAGTATTAGTGTCTCTTACCATATGTAAAAGATACTTTAAAATAGGCATTATAAAAGGAATATGTACAGTCTATGTTTGTTGTTTACCTATATATTTTTGTTTTGAAGTAACTGTCTTATGAAAGCAATAATGAAATAAACTATGCATTCTGTGCCCAACAAAGCCCTTTAGCCATGACTACATACTGTACCTTATATTTATACACCTTATCTCTTAATTCTCATACCTGTGTTTCTGTGGGGGTATGGCTGCTACTCTCAGAGATCCAGGTGAGGCTCTGCTCCGGTGTGGATTGCTCCACCGTCATCAGCGCAGCTCCTGACTTTTTCAACGCGTCCTCCTCTACATGCACAATCTGAATCTGACCACTCTCCTGCACACACATATTATAATCAGTATGTAATCATTGCCTCTGGATCATTAGATTCTAACAGTATTTAGTCTGACCTGTGTGTCTTCCTCAGTGATTGTGGGTGGAACACTGAGGGCCGGTGCATTGAGGGGTGTGACACAGAGAGGTGGGACAGATGTCTCCTGTACCTCAATCAAGTATTCTAGAGCCAGCTGAGAGGAGACAAATATAATACTGAGCATTATGTAAACTGTGTTTGTATGCTTATGTGTTCATATACTGTATATGTCTACCTGTTCAAGTTCCAGCAGTTGTTTCTGTAGTAGTTCTGCTTTTTTGAACACTAGGAGTGTGTTTTCAGCTTTGTCAGGTAGACACAGACCATCCTTACAGTTCTGAATCTCAGCAACTGTCCTTTTCATCAGGTCAATCCTGTCTTCTGTTGACTGCAAACACACATGAAACACCCACAGGAATCAGGTGCTTGATAGTAACTACACCATTTTAGTCATTTCCATGCCTGGTCAAATGTTTAAATACAAGGCAAAATTTTATTTCACCTTTAGACAGTCCCGACTGATGTCTTTGGTGGTCAAAGTAGATTTGATTTTGGCCACATCTTTCTCCATGACCTTCACCTCTGACTCAATGGCATCCACTTCCTTAAAAATGCGCACACACACATAAACAGATGAAATTCACAGATTCATGAAATTCCTAAAATAAAATAAAATAAAATTCCCTTTTATAGATAACACAGATGTGCATCCTCATTTGGAAAATTATTCATACACGAACTAATTAATTGAAGTTAATTATTTAATTAATCGAATATATAATTATGTATATTTAAGTGTGTACGTGTACAGGTGCATCTCAATAAATTAGAATGTCGTGGAAAAGTTCATTTATTTCAGTAATTCAACTCAAATTGTGAGTCGATGGTATATCCTTATTTATTTTATTAGATGTCAGTGTGCTCACTGCTGCTGCATGCTCCAGCTGAGAGAGAGGTCCCAGCAGGCTGTGCTGCATGTCTGCCACAAGTCGATCAGCATTTGAGAGCTGCTCCTCTAATGGACTGACATCAAAAACACTTCCCATCTCTGTCAGCACACTGCCGAAACCATGTAGAGCCCGTCTCATCTGAGCAGAATCATCCAGAACCATCTAAAACACACACATACACATGTAGAGTATTATTTGACATGAAAATGATAAAGCACTTTTAGCCTAATACAAAGATCTGGGCCAGTAACCAAATACTAAGTTTAAACCCCACAGTGGGATGATACAGGTTTCTTCAGCAGTCAGCTAAATGATAATGACGTGTCTGAGGATAATACCTGCAGTGCATTCACATGACTGTCCAGGCATCTGGCAGTGGTGTATGTGCAGGGTGTCGTAAGCCAAGACTGAGCCTCTGAGATCCAGCTCTGTGACCCCTTCAACATCTCCTCATGCTCCTGCATCCAGTCACGGACCTACACGGAGACAGTTTAAATAACACACTTTAGATAACACACAACTGAAGTCATAATTCAGTTATTATTCACTGAAACTCCTGTTTTCCTTTCATTCGACTCTGTCATGTTTAACTTTTTTGCAAAGCATCATGGGAGTCTGAGCAGGTGACCTTGCTGAGGAAGGTAGTCCTCTGTTCGGCCTGTTTGGTGAGGTGTGTGTGGGTCTGCTGAGTGTTGGCCATGCTGTCTAATAACAGGCGGCACTCGTCTGGATGCATTTCATTCACGTCTTGTAGCTCCACCTCCACCTCAACTGCCGTCAGACGAGTGTGTAAACGGTCCAACTCGTCCCACACTCGCTGCAAAGGAACAATAAAACACTTTTTTTAATCTGTGTCTAGACTTCACAGTAGTGTAAAAAACCTAATTTAAAACATTGTTTCACAGAACTTGCACCTACTGCACCTACTTGCTGTAAGCAAAGGCAGGTTAATTTTGAGCTTTCAGACAGACAATATTTGTGCTACAGTACATAACAGAACTGCGACTCTGTATGTTAAAAAATAAAAGTGATTTATGGATTATATATTGAGTATTTTGTTTAAAAATAGTGTAAATTAATTTAAAGGTGACATATCATGAAAATCTGACTTTTCCAGGTTTTAAGTGCTATAATCAGGTCCCCGGTGCATTTACCAACCAAGGAAGCATGAAAAAGATTAACCCAGTAACTTTGTTTTGGTAAGCCTTTTTCTGTCCCAGCCTCAGAGGAGACAAGAGAGCAGTGGATTTATTGATTTATTTACTGTATATTGCTGCTGCCACACAGATCTAAAATAAACATGCGATTTATTTCCCGGCAGTTTACCTTCACAGACATAACCGACTGTTTTTTAATGTAAACTTGTGTGTGTGAATGAGAACTTAGTTTAGTACTCACATGCTGTGACAGCCGCTTTCTGTCCGTGTGCTTCGGATGTGTGCACTCAAAAAAAACGTAATCAGAAATGTAAACTAATATGGTTTAAAATGCATGATTTTGGCGCGATAAACATGATAATCAGAACCAAAACAGATGTTTTTTAGCAGGTACCAGCTGAAATGACACAGCTCTATTCTGGAAAAGGGGGCGGGGAGCAGCAGCTCATTTGCATTTAAAGAAACAGGCCCGAAAAACAGAAAGGGGCATAATATGTCTCCTTTAATAGATTAAACAATAAATGAAAAATTAGTTATTGGGTATGTGCATCAAGTGAGCTTTTTCAAACTACTGTATGTGTAAGTACCTCATTACTCTGTATTTCAGATTGGTTTATTGAGCATCTTCATAAATGCTGATTAGCTCAGCATGCAACACAATAAAAAAAATAGGCCCAGCACTGACTTGCAGCGTTACGTCTGTTACGCTGTAATGTGTTATATGAACACCAATATGAATATATTGTAATTTTACAATACAAAATGTGTGAAACAGATCTTAGACTGAGCTAAACTTATGGCTGACCTTCTGTGTGGTCTCAGCTTCAGTGAAGTTCAGGCTCTTCTGTTCCAACCAGCTCTGAACTGATCCCAGACCTGCTTTAATCTCAGAGATTTTAGCACCCAGCCTGTGAAGTGGGCCACTTTTCTCCACAGCTGTCTTCACCTGAGAGTGAGCAAGTGAAATGGACATAAAAACAGACAAACGTCATTTAAAAAAATCAACGGAATTACTATTATCACTCTTAATTAACAAACACACAGGGCTTACCTAACTACTCTGATGTGTGTGTGTGTGTGTGTGTGTGTGTGTGTGTGTTTGAGTGTGTATATGGATGATGCAACACACCTCTTACACCTGTGAATGAGTGTGTGAGTTGAGTATGTGTCTCTGATGCAGGGATCTATCTGTTCTAGAGTGAGATGTTCTCCTTTCTCAATTCATTAAAGATGAGATAAATAGCAGAAGTTGTGAGCGAAGCACATTTATTTGAATTTGAATTCAGTAATGAGTAAAAGTATTTTATATTCTGGTGCTCTTGTCAGCTCACAATGTCAATATTAAAATAAGAAAAAAAATTTAGACAAATGTTGCTGATATCTTAATTAAAAGTTCCCAACTCAAAAATGTATGTTTTGATGAATGTAAAATCTGGGTGCTGAAACAAAATAAGTTGGGAGCCATTCAAAGAATGTATCAAACCTGTTCCTCCACTTCCTGTAATGACTGTGAGACTTCCTGTAATAGTCCCTCTATCTCTTCTGGAATTGATGTGTTTTTGTCCAAGCACATCATCTTCAAACTATCCGATATATGCTGCAGAACAGCCTTCTGGGTACACAGCTGTGAGTGAACCTCCTGTTTAGAAAAAAAGCGACATTACTCATCAATTAGGTTACATTAGTAATGAGTACATCTATGTACTATGTACATCTAAGTACATCTAACCATTTTCAATTTTATCCATTTAATTTAAAAAGTACTTCTTGGTACAAGAGTTTTTTTTTCCAAAACAAAGCTCATCGAAGCATCATAAACAAGAACAGCAAAGGTAACTAAATTTGACTGGTACCACAAATTACACAAGCATTCACTGAGGGCAGTCGCGAAGTGAATATAGAGAAACAGACAAAACAGCTGAAATTTGAAGTATATATATATATATATATAAAACATGAAAATCATGTAAGAGTTGTATTCAAATAATTATAATTATAAATTACAGATCCAGGAATAAAAACAACACCTATAATTGTCCCTTCAGACTCTTCCATTTTTCTTTGTACATCATGATGAATATCAGCAGATATTTTACCATGTGTTTATACGTTTTACTTTAATAAAAACAGGTTACACATTTTATAGTGGAAGAATTTCTATTTTAAGATTCTACTGGATATAAAAGATCAAAATAGGTATAATAAAGCAAACACTTACATTTATAGGAACACCAGAAAGCACATGGAAACGATGCACAATGTGATATTCTTCTATTTATGTGATATTCAATGCATATCAGTCTTTCATTTAGCACTAGTTTTGCTGGCTGACCCAGTCACTGATGATGCTCTTAGTCCCTCAAGCTTTAAGATAACAGAACCAGAACAATCCACTCAATAAGCTCTCTCTGTCTCTCTCAGCCCTTTTCACCTCTCCAGTTAGTGAGATAAAGCTTCAACCCCCTATTTATATTATAATGAGCCATTTTAGATGGGAAGAAAAGCTGCATAAACAAGATCCCAAAATTACCAAAAACCCAGAGGGATTCAGAGTCAGAAAGGACCATGCATTAGAGTGAGAGAGAAAGATTATCAATTCAGATCACTTTATTTTATTAACAGTTATGACTTCTGCTGTTCTACATAATATTTTATGTTTATTCCTACTCAATCGGTTTTATTGCTTTAACATTTTGGCAGTATAGTATGGGACACATTCAAGAAAATTGAATTGAGAGGGGGGTTTGTGTGTTAGAGAGATAGAGAGTGCATTAGCTGACATCATTACTGGCGTTGGGATCAGACCTGGAGGATCCACTTACAGGTGTGTGTGTGTGTGTGTGTTTAGGGGATACGGAGTGTGTGCTTGTGAGAGTGAATGAGAACAAGAGAGAAAGTGTGTGTGTATCTGAAACAGTGAAAAGAAATTGTGTGGGAATGTTGGACATGACTCAGCAATTCAATCAGAACACTAACACAGTGCCCTCTCTTCTCTGTGTGTGTGTGTAGCAAAGAGGTAATGAGAGAGAAAAACAGAATCTACTGCAGTGTGTGTGTTTGAGAGAATAACTGTTTAAAAGTCTTTGAATCTTTAAGAGTGTGTGTGTTTGAACTGATTGGATGGAACAGCCTATTCAGCGCAACAAACAGTCACTCTCTCCCTCACACAGTGTTCTAACTAGACAAAGCGCAAGCAAATAAAAGCTCGTCTTAACCAGCGACAGTCATAGTAAGCTATAAAACAGGATATTTTGTTGATTGGTTTCCATTTCTACAAATTACTTGTCTCTCAGAAGAGCCTGATTGAGACAACCAATACTGAACAATAAAACCTAACACTAAACAGCATTGTATGCCAGTAGCCACAGTATCTCTGATGCCCAGACATAAACACTGCTGCATTAATTAATTTGTCAGTGTCTATGCAGTTTTATTAATTTGCAAAATGTCTTAAAATATTAGTGAAATATAATTTCAGTATGCATCTGCACTTTTGTATGTGCTTTGCTCTTCCAGTATGTCATGAGATCTGTTAAGTCCAGGGCACACTGAATCTGTCAGTCTACTCTTTCAAAAACTAAATGACAAAAAAAATAAAAAATCCCAAACATTTATCTGGCACAAAAAACAATGAAGACTTCAGTTAGTAGACAGCATTAAATATACACAAAAAGCAAGCAACTAATCAAAATAGAAAACTAATTTATTTAATTTAGTGGAAAACAACAGCATTGAGCTAAATGGGGAAGTCGTGGCCTAATGGTTAGAGAGTCGGACTCGTAACCCAAAGGTTGTGGGTTCGAGTCTCGTACCGGCAGGAATTGTAGGTGGGGGGAGTGAATGTACAGCGCTCTCTAATTCTGAGTATGGGTCACCATACTTAGCCACATGTCACGTCACTCACTCTCTAAATGCATTGAACCATTGCTGCTACACCACAATTAAAGGGGACATCAGATGCAAAATTCACTTTTACATGGTGTTTACATATAAATGTGTCTTAGTAGTGTATGGACACAACCACCCTACAATGATAAAAATCCAATCACTCCTTTTTTTTTTAATCCCCCCAAAAATAAACTGTCAATTATCAAGCCGTTTTGATTTTCTGAGCAATATGACACTATACTGCTCTGGCCCCGTCCACAACTGCTGATGGACTGTCCCGTATTTGCATATTTCCGTCCATCAGCCAGTTGTACGCTGTCTGCCATTTTCTCCGTGCTCAAGCAGCTGTAGCGACAACAAATTTCTTGTAAGCAATGCAGGTGTTTTGTAGTTGGATGTAAAAGTGAACACAAGAGTCTTCATTTTCTCCCGACATGAGAGCCACTGAGGACGCATTGGATTATTTTTGTTTTTGATGGTAATGCGCCACCAAATACGCAAAAAACAGAAGAGAGGGCTGTGGTGAGCAGTAGCTCATTATCATTTAAAGAAACATGCACCGAAATGGAACAGAGCTGTTTTTGACGAGGTAAAAAGAGTGTTGTCTTATACGATCATTTAGGAATTTTAACCAAAGTATTTTGCAGACATTTCATGAAGACCCTAAATAAGCATACCAACTTGTGGAAAATGGGCATCCAATGTCCCCTTTAAAAAAGCTACACTGTTTTGAAAGCAGATGATTTGTCATGCCTACTGAAAAATGTAGTCAATTAGTTGTGCAACAAATTATTCCCCAATACAAAAAGGTGGAGTATTATTCATGGGTGAGAGGTATTATTCATGCAGTTCATCATGCAGAGCGAGGGCAGAGATAATGAAGTTTGCTGGCCACAGTCAGTGACAAACAGAACACTGTGTCAATGTGTCAATTAGTAATTCTCAGGCTGGTGAAATAGATTTATTAACTGTAAAAAATCTTGCTTGTGCAAAGTTAAAATGCAATTCTTTAACTCAAGTAAAAATAAAAACATCTAAAGTGGATAAAAACCAGCTTAAAGGGTTAGTTCACCGCAAAATGAAAATTATGCTGTGTTTTACTCACCCCTGAAGCATCCTAGGTGTATATGACTTTCTTCTTTCAGACGAATCCAGTCGGAGTTATATTAAAAATTGTCTTTGATCTTTCAAGCTCTATCGTTGTACTCAGCGGGTGTTGCATTCCTTCGGTTCAAAAGACGTGAAATAAAAAGCACCCTTCCACAAAAAAAAAAAGTGTCTCACACGGCTCCGGGGGGTGAACAAATGCCTCCTGTAGCGAATCGATGCGTTTTTGTAAGAAAAATATCCATATTCAAAACGTAATAATCACTTTAATGTAGCTTGCACCAGCAGTCGTACACAGAAGCAGTTCCGGGGGAATGACGTCAGTGCGCATGCGCGGCTCAGAAGTGACGCACGCGGAGAGATCGAAACCAAAGCACAATCACAAGACAAGTGACTAACCTGTAGTTGTTTCTTGCTGGGCTCGTGCTCCAGTACAGCGAGGAGAGAGATGGCAGATTCCAGCCACTCTCTGACTCTCTCCAGCTGCTCCTGTACTCGTTCCCTCTCTTCCACCTCTGTTCTTACTGCCCTCAGACCCTGAGAGCTACGTTCCTTTAGACTGCAGGACACACAAGTTAAAAAAAGACATGTTGAACTCTCAGTCCAAGTCCATACTGCAAAATGGATGCTATAAAGGTAGGAAGAAAAAAAAACCCTGATATACGTCCCTGAAACCATATATCAGTATGTTCTCATTCAGCATAAAATAAAACTTTCATATGTGTAAATTAAATATAATCAAAATATGTAGCTAAGACTGTGTGCGGGTTAATGGTCTCAAGTATGTATGTGTTCATTTGGTCTCTCTGGGATGGGACGTTGGCGTCCAATGCTGACCTACTTCAGTCTGTAAGCCCACTGATTTGGAATTAACATGTGGACCACTGGGACATGGAGTCCACAATAGGAAATATTAGGCAAAAGACAATCATGTTTCGAGAAAACCAAAATTTAAGATAACCTTAAAATAGGAAGAAGGAAAAGAAAACTGAAAAAAGCAATTAGCAATACGCTAAGTAGATGCCTGACCTATGGTAACGTTCTTGCCAGGCTTGAAGCTCTTGGCACAGCTCAATGGGCGGGGCCTGTTCCAGGTCCGGGGGAACGCCAAGCAACCTTGCAGCTCTTAATTCCAAAGCGGAGAGAGCTCTTTGTTCACAGTCCAGTCTGTCCTGGTACTGGGACCAGAAGAGCAGCAGTTCCTGCAGCTCATCACCAGTCAGATTCTCTCTGCTGCTATCTGGAAGTTCTGCATCCATTTGCTCCAACACAGTGGCTGCCTGCTCCACCTGCAGAATGACAGCAAAGGAAAACAAGCTCAGTTTTTCTTATCTGCACAACAGTCTTTCATAGTGTAATGTTTTATTTAGAGTAAGCATGCCGAAACGAGTTTCATTGTTATTTCACATGCATGTTGATATACAGAAGGTAAAATTCCCACTATCAGATTTGGTCATGGCACTTACACTCCTTGTGACACTGCTCCACTCTGCTTCCAATTGTTCTGAGCGTGTCTGCAGATCATTGGCACAGCGCTGCAATCTTGCCACCTGACCCCAGATTGCGCTCACGGCATCCTCCCTGTTGGCTCTGCACCCATACAGTGAACACCACTCTCTCAGATTCTCCAGTTTTCCAGGAAGCATGGCAACCTCTTCCACTAGAGCCTAAAAAGATGAGAAATACTTAAATGTACTAGCCTACCAGTAAAACCATATGTATCTCATTGCATCAGTTGGCAAAACACAGATAAATGATACAGATCTTTAGGTTATAAGGGGAACTAATGTTAACAAATGCTAGTCTTTCTACAGGAAAGGGTTTTATTTGACTTTACCTTGAGTTTCTGTTGCTGGTCTTTGCAGTCTTTGTGTGAAGTAAATTTTTTGGAGGCACACTGTGATAGCAATGTTTCTAAGTCTCTCACTTGCTGGCAAAGCTCCTCGTAGCATTTACGAGAAAGTTTCTGGCACTCAACACACCTTGTTATGGACAAGAATTTGGTTAATTTCAACATGGGGTATTTGTAATTTGATGACAGAAAAAGTTCTTATACAGTATAATACTCTTTCATACTATTGTATTTACCTCTTCAAAGATTCTACATGAATTTGAGCCTGGGCCTTGAGGGTTGATAGCCTGACCAGGAGCTCGCCTAGAACCTGCGTGTGCAGAAATTCAATCTTCTGTGGCTTGAAGCAGGGATGCTGTGGGGTTTGAGCTTGAAGCTGTGAAACATGTGATTGGATCTCTGTGTCTAGGGTCAGTAAAGCGTGCTGTGTGTCTTTGAGTCTTTCTGAGCAGCTTCTAGCAGAGCAGACTGAGGGAAGGAGGACCAATGCAGCTCTTTGGAGGAACCGAATGGTATCAATCACTGCTTTGGTGTAATTATTCAACAGTTCTTTAGCTTTAGTTAGGCTCACCTGAAAAGACAGCAGAAATCTTCCTTGACTTTATCTGCTTAAATGTATATTTTCAACAAAGATTCTGCATATGATGTTTCTAAACATTTGCACCAACTATATTGCAAAGGAACAGATCAATGAAACTGTGTCAAAGATGAAACAGAGTAAACTCACCATTCGTTGATCACACTTTTCCAAAACCATATCCTTCAAGCAAGTAAGCTGTTTGGAGTCCTGTGGAGGTTGAGCTCCAATCTTTTTTTCAAGAAACTCAAGCACTCGCATTCTAGATTCTACATTCTTTCTGAGTACAAAGCACGTTCTTAGTTGTTTTTCAATCTCTGCCTCTTTTGGTTCAATACTACAAGGCTTTTCCAATTCCTCATTAGTGTCTTTGAGAAATTGCTTAAGTACTCTTTTTTCTGATGGATAATGAATTTGTTTTAGCAGATCCCATTCCAATATCTGAAGATTATTGCTCACTGCCAATTCTGAGGTTTTGAGACTTTCCAGGATTTGTTTAAATCTTGCTTGTTCAGTAGAGAGCTGAGATGGATACAGATCTGCTATGATTTCCTGCAGTTCATCCATTGTTTCCTCAAACAAGAGTTTTATTAAAGAGATTTGGATCAGTAGGGCCTGACAGGCTCTGTAGCGTTCCTCTTTGTTGATGCTCTCATCTTTGGTCATTGGGATCTGAGCCTCCATTTCCTCCTTGACATCTTCAATGCACCGACTGAAGCTCAAGTACCTTTCATGAGCTTGTGATTTGAGATCCAAATCAATCATTTTGTGGTACAGTTCAGTAATAACACATAACAGCTCTCTTCTCTTTTCCTCTGAACAGAGACCGACTTGCTCAATCTGAGATTTGCGCTCCACAATCATCTGTTTGAAGGGTTCAATAACAGAGAGGGTATCCTTGGTAACAGGAAACCTGTGTCTTTTTACATCAGCTAACATTTGTCTCAGGCTGTTCTCAAGAGATGATACCTTCCTCTGAGAGGATTCTTGGCTCTGTATGACATCCATAACTTTTTGGCAACATGCTTTCTCATAGAGAACAATACTCTTGATGTCCTCTTGAAGGCTGGTGAGTTTCTCATAGAGTTGAGTATTCTCTGAGACACTTAGCTCTGATGCAATGTCTCTGCTTTTCATCAGAAGGGCTTCAGTGACAGCGGACTGCTTTTCTGCCTCTCCAAGAGTGTCCTGGATCTGCCTCAACCTGCGATCCAGGTCTGCCACACTCAAACTTTGATAATCCTCTCTTCTCAAAGCTTCCCTCTGCAGATGTCCAACCACCCAGGAATCAATATCTGCTATCTGCTCTGACATCTTCTCCCGGGTCTGAAGACCAGACTCCATCTCACGAACTGCCTCAGCCAGTTTTCCTGCTGCTGATTTGGACAAATTCTCTAGGACATTCAAGGATGAGGTCACCATCGAAACATCAGCCTCATCTAGGTCACAAATCAGCTCAGTGACTTCCTCAACCAAAGCCTTCAACTGGGTTTGCTTGGAGCTCATCTCAGACTGCGATTTCTTTAAATCTTTAATCTGTCGATGGACTTCTTCTGGAAGCAAAGACAGCTTTTTCTGTCGTCCTTTGACATCACATTCTGTCTGCTTGGCCCAAGCCAGAGCATCTGTCATCACCTTTACAATTTTACTTAATGTTGGGTTGCTGCTGCTAGGGGTTGCAGCTGCTAACTTTTCACCCATTTGATCCTGCTGATCTTTTATATGCTGAAGGTCCTGCTCTATGCTGGATGTCTCTGCCTTGAATTGGAATTCCTGGGCAAGTGCCTCAGAGGTCTGCTGAAGGTAGAGGTACTGCTGATGGGTGAAAGTGAGATTAGCATTTAAAGTCATCATTTCTTGAGCTTTCTTGCCATCCCATAAAACTGGTGGGGTTTTTGATGCATCCAAGGTCTTCTGAATATTCTCGAGATGGTCTTTTAAGGCACTGACCTCTTGAATAAGGCTGCCACTTTCTTTAGCATAAGCATTGACCTTGTAAAGAGCAATTTCTGCATCCTTCTCCAGCACCCTCCACTGGCTTTGCAAGTTGTTTTGCTGTGTTTCAGCTGCCTGTCTCTGAGGCACACTGAGGTGGGAGGACAGTTTTGCATGAGTCTGAATTAACTCACCGAGAGCTGTCCTTTCCTGCTCCATGTTTCTCATGAAAGAGCGTAGCCTTTCCTCCTCGGCAAAACTGCTCACGGCTGGAGAGCTAGACATATAAAAGATGAATTTATGGGTCTTTATATTCTAATAAGTGGTTTAGTGCAACAATAAACTTACTCAGTGTTTAATGTGATAAGTACAGAAACAACAAGCTTAATAGTAAATACGTACGATCTCAGTGCCGCACTCTCAATTTTGAGTTTCTCCAGAATAGCTTTGACTTTCTGGGTCTGTCTGTCAAAATCTGCAACCATCTGTAGTTGAGCTTCCTTGGAGTGAACCGAGCTTGCTGCATCCCACAAAGCTGCACTCCACTGGGCACTCAGCTGTTGCATCCCCTCGGGGTCATGAACTGTGCCATTAGTGCCACTGCCAATGTCTCCATTAGCCTGGTCTTGTCTAGACAGCATAGATACCTGTCTCTGGGCACACCTTCTACATTCCTAAAATAATATAACAATACAAGTACTAAATGAGCTCACCTCCCAACATAACTCAGGATTCTAATACAAAACAAAAATCAGCAACACTACTTTTACATATTAAATATTGTCCCACCTCAGCCTCCTCTAGTTGTTTGGCCATGTCTGTGGAGTTCAGAGCAGCTGGGCAAGTTCGGAGGTCCAGTAAATGGAACACTAGCCTTTTTAACCGAGCTTCAAGATCAGTGCTGGAAGTGTCAAGAAGTTTCTTGGTACTTTCATGTGGTATACCCTAAAAAAAAAAAAAAAGCTTTTTGAAAGAACAGCTGACATAATGCACATTTAATTTTTGTTTATGTTTATTCTAAACTTATGTCTTGACACTGTTTAAATCACAGTATTGAAAGATTATGTGTACTTCAATTCAGATGCATTTACATTGTGATTGTGCCTCAGATGCAATCAACTGAAACTCTGTTTGCAAAAGTGTGACCCAAATAACCCATATAATTAGCCCATAGGTCAGCATCAGGTCAGTGTATCATGAGCTCTCCATGAGAGAGGTCCTATCAGGTCATCATGAGGTTCATTGGCTCTCCATGGGGTGTTATTGTATTGTTTGTAGCACATTTGTTACCCGGTATAAAGGTCTGGTCTCACAGACATTACCTGGGGTTAAGATTCTTTGAAGGACTACATGGTAACATCACTGCTGAAGAACTGCTACACCACTGCCTTCAATACATTTTTCTCCCCACAAGAACTTTGGTCAAGCTTACTTATTTTATGTATTAGAGAAATCTAGTACATTGGTGAGCCACCCAAACGATTGTTCAGCCAAATACAGCAAAATCTAACAGTATTTTGAATTTAATGTTATAGTGGTTAACATTTTTAAATATTACCTCCATGAGCACACTTTTTGGTCCCTTTTCAGTCATTTTTTTGATCTCCATGAAGATATCCTTCATTGTGGGTCCCTCTGGCTCCCCCTCTTCCTCTGCTGGACTCTCAGTGATTTCAGGCATGAGACCAACTTGGGGAGAAACATCCACATCTTGATCTTGTGGCTGCAACACATAAAAGATTAGCAGAGTAAACTAATTGCTGAACTGAAGACTAGCAACTGCATTATCTCAAATACAGGATAAAAGACTGCAGATGCATAACTGAGATATTAAAGCAGTTAATGAAGTACATTTAATCAAACTCAATCAACAACAAAAATCAGAAAGCCATTCCCAACATTTACAGTGCCATAAGGAAGAGGTGATGGAACAGAAAAAAATGTTTATGCCCTCTCTGTAAGCCTGACCATAAAGAATTAAAGAGTATTTATTCACTGATAGAGGGCAGTAATGACTGCATGCATGGAGCTGAATACAAATAGATACATATAGGTGGGTTATTCAGGAGCTACAGATGTTAATTGAAACTTTGTTAGAAGATTGCTTTTTCCATCAGAGTTCAAACCTAATGCAATAGTTCTGCTTGCTAATTTAGACAATTGGACTGTTGAAAAAAAAGGGGATTAATTTCACCCTACAAATCAAATATTGAGACATCCTCAGTTGAGGACTTCCATTACAGTCCAGCATGCAGATAACATGCAGATTTGTTCCTTTTGGTGGAATCATGCACATTAAAGTTACCTGCATTTCACTGATGTTCTCTGTTTGATTGATTACACTTATGGGTTCTGGGACCAAGGTATCAGAGTCCTGCCCCTCCTCTTGATGCTCCTGACCAACCAATGACTTTGTATCATACTCCTTTTTATCTTCCTGTTTAGTTATTGCTTCAAAATCAGCTTTCACTTCCAGTCTTACGAACACAGAAACATTTTCATTGTCTGAACTTTCTTTGTCGCTGGTTGTTGGAGTTGGTATGACCTGTGGCACTTCTGGCGCCAATGGAGCTCTGTCAGCTTCTATTTGATCTTTCTTTCGACTGGTTGGTGGAGTTGGTAGGGTTTCCTCAGGTTGACTTTCAGGAGTGGTTGAAACCATCTCAGTTTCCACTCGGCTGTCTTTTTGCCTCAGAGGTGGAGTTGGGTTATATATGCTCATATCTTCTTTTAGATTAGAAGCACCTGTGACGATTTCTTTTTCAACTTGTGGTGTGGGTTTCACAAAGGTCTCTTTCTCTTCTTGGTTTTTGCAAACTGCCACATCACTTTCTACCTGACTAATTTTGCGTCTGACAGGTGGAGTTGGTTTAACAGTGTGCTCTTCCACATCTTTATGTTCAACAGTTTGCTGATTATCACTTTTTCCTAATTCAGCACTGTAAAATAATGTGTCACTCTCTGTCTTATCCTCGCATCTTCCTGATGGTGGAGTTGGTTGAGGTGCCAGATCAACTGATAATCCTTTATCTTCACCTTTTTCTTTACGTCGTCTTGCTGGTGGTGTGGGTTGGGTCTCCAGATCAAGCGATAATCTACTATCTTCTTTTTCTTTATGTCGTCTTGCTGGTGGTGTGGGTTGGGTCTCCAGATCAAGCGATAATCTCCTATCTTCTTTTTCTTTACGTCGTCTTGCTGGTGGTGTGGATTGGGTCTCCAGATCGAGCGATAATCTACTATCTTCTTTTTCTTTATGTCGTCTTGCTGGTGGTGTGGGTTGGGTCTCCAGATTGAGTGATAATTTACTATCTTCTTTTTCTTTACGTCGTCTTGCTGATGGTGTGGGTTGGGTCTCTAGATCAAGAGATAATCTACTATCTTCTTTTTCTTTACGTCGTCTTGCTGGTGGTGTGGGTTGGGACTCTAAATCAAGTGAAAACCTCTCACTTCCCATTTTCTCTCTACGTCTTCTGCTTGGTGGGGTGGGAAGAACTTCTCCCTCTATCTGTGATTCAATATTTAAAAATAACCTATCACCTTTACGTCGTCTGGTGGGAGGTGTTGGTGTGACATCCACCTTGTCTAATTGGACCTCAGTTTCACCCTCATTTTGTCTTCTGACTGGTGGTGTTGGTTTAGGCTCAGCTTCTATGGATTTCCCTTTATTAACCAATGTCTTTTTTGTCACTTCCTCCTCAGGGATATGCATGGTGTCCCCAGATTTCTTCTCTGATGTTGTTGACATTCTTACCTTGTTTGATTGGACATCGGTTTCACCTTCATTTTGTTGCCTGACTGGTGGTGTCAGTATAGGTTCCCCTTCTAGGGATTGTGTTTTATCATCTGATAGAGTCATCTTTATCTCGTCTTCTACAATGACACTGATAGCCTCTGCACCTTCAGGTTTCTTCTCTGATGTTGTTGAAATATTCACCTTGCTTGATTGGACAGCAATTTTCTTTTCGTTTCTTTGCCTGACTGGTGGTGTTGGTTTAGGTTCAGCTTCTATAAAATGTGCTTTTTCATCTGATGGGGTCTTGTTTGTCTCTTCTTCTACAATGACATCTGCAGTGGCTCCAACTTCATGTTTCTCCTCTGGTGTCAGTGAGACATTAATACTTTCAGATTGACACTCAGTGTCCCAGTCACTCCATTCCTTAATGACATACAATGCTTCTTCACATTCAGTTTTCTCCTCTGGTGATACATCCACCTTTTCTGACTGGACATCAGTTTTGTGGTCATTCCTTTGCTTGATTGAAGGTGTCAGTTCAGATTCAGCCTCTATGGATTCTGCTTTATCATCTGATGATGTTGTATTTGTCTCCTCTTCTACAATGATATCCATGGCCTTTTCACCTTCAGCTTTCTCCTTTTGTGTTAAGACATTTACCTTGTTTGGCTGGGCGTCAGTTTTACTCTCATTTCTTTGCCTGACTGGTGGCGTCATTCTAGGTTCAGATTCCATGAATTGTGCTTTTTCACCTGATGGGGTCTTTCCCATCTCTTCTTCTACAATAACATCTGTGGCCTTAATAACTTCAGGTTTCTCTTCTGGTGTTAGTGAGACATTACTTTTTTTGGGTTGTACCTCAGTGTCCCAGTCAATTAGGAGCTTGATTGGAGGTGTCAGTTTAGGTTCAATTTCTTTGAATTGTGCTTTACCACCTGTTTGGGTCTTTGTCTCTTCTCCCAAAATGACGCCAATGGCTTCTTCACCTTCAGGTTTTTCCTCTACTGTTGTTGAGACATGCACTTTGTTTGTTTGGACCTCAGTTTCTACCTCATTTTGTTGCTTGACTGGAGGTTTAAGTTTAGGATCAGTTTCAATTAATTGTGTTTTATCATCTGATGGGGTCTTCTTTGTCTCTTCTTCTACATTGACATGCATGACTTCTCCAACTTCCCTTGGTGGTAGGTTTTGGTTTGCTTCAACCAGTTCAGATTGTTCTGATGCTTCTAAAGGTCTGTTTGTGCTGGCTAGAACCCCTGTTTCTGTTTGATCAGATTTTGCCTCATATTCGGTCTCCATTCTTTCTGACACTGAACGTTCTGATCCCTGAATCTGTGCCTCAGAGGGTTCCCTGGAAAAAGTAGCTTTATGAGCATGACGTCTCTGCATCTCCACCCCCTCAGGGAAGTCTTGAATAATATATCCGCGTTGGATTTCATTCGGACCATTATTTGTAGTCCAGTTCCTCTCTCTGTCAGCAATTGCAGCATTTGGTCCATTGTTCCAAGAAAATGTTCCAATACCTCTGGCAGCAGCATCTCCACTAATGTGTACTTCAGCAGGTGGACCTGCTTTTGTCTGCACTTGTCTATTAGTGTCTATATCACTGAGCCGTGACTGTTCTGGCTCTATTGCTGAACTAATTTCTAAAACATTCACCATACTTGGCTCATTAAGAGAAGACTGGATGCTAATTGGTTCTATGGCTACTTCAGAAATTTCAGCTTCTGGAGGGGCCATTGTTTCATGCTCTTGCTTGCCCAGTGTTATCTCATTTAAAATAGAACTAGCAGAGGCTGCATTCACTGTAGCACCATCTGAGGGTGTGTGGGAGTGTCTGTCTACACTATCTATGTGTACTGTATCCAAATCTAAAATGAGCGCAGCAACCTTTTTGGTTTGTGCTTCACCTTCTCCACAAGGTTCCTCTTGAGAATGTGAAATATATGAGTCCTCTTCCTCTTTATCTGGCTCTGCAGTCACTGCTTCAGTGTTCTCACCCTCTACTCTATCAGCAACTGAACTCTCAACTACAATAGACAACTGGCTTTCTTGTCCTTCTGTGCTAAGACTCTCAGTGCTGTGTAATTCCAAGTCTGTGTCTTGCACTGTGGTTTCCAAGCTGTGGACAGCTGCAGATGAGGGAATTGGCATCTTTTCATGTGAATTCTCATCATTATCAGACTTTGTTTCCAAAGAAACAGAAACAAAATTCTCACTTTTAGTTTTATTTGCACCATGGCTGCTTGTAGGAACAGCAGATTCATATACTCTTGCTGCTGGTTCAGGTAGCATCTCTGTGGTTAACGGAACAGTTGTTTTGACTTCAGTCTGTTCAGTGTCAATCTTTAATATTGGTAGTGATTTTCTTGCAGCGTGAATTTCTGTTTCAGTTGAAGATTCTGAGATTACACATGGAGGGATCTTGCTGTCAAGGTATTCAGATGGCTGTACCTTAGCTTGTTCACTGTCATCTGTCATTTCAAAGCTCTCCGTGATAAACGATGAAGAAGAAACAAATTCCAACTGTTCAGACTCCTTTGCTGATGGTGTCACAGCAGAAACCTACAAATTATATTTATCATCTATACTTACATATTACTGCACTTAATAGCCAGATACAACAAAAGTCTAGAAATATATTTGTATATGAATATGTAAATTTGTGAAATTGCACCTGCGAATCCACCTGAATGCTTTGAGCTTCCAGTGACAACCTCTGAACTTCCTGCTTCACCTTCTCCTCCAGATTCTGAAACGCAGACTCATCTGTTTAAACCACAACACATTTCATGTGAAGCATCATCCCACAGAATTGAGCCATACTCACCTTGAGCTCCTGTTTAAGGTCATTCATGTGAGTGTCTGCTTCGTTTAATGCTTTCGTTCCGTCTCTTTCAAGTTTGCCAGCCAAGTCAGGGCCCAGACATTCCCTCAACAGTTCTTTATGGGACAGCGCCACCTGCAGGCTTTTACACAGTCTCACACCTTCCTCAATTGCAGCCTAAGGAGTAAAAATATTGCGTGTTTAAACGGTAACAGCAAACTTACTCGTTCAAATGGACCAGTCTAGTGCAGGTGCAGAGTTTTGTTGTGTACTCACATACTGTATGCAAATTAAGACACAAACACACCTGCATGGATGTGGCTGAGCTGCAGGGAGGATTTGCATGTGTCAGATTCCATGACTGTATGTTTTGTAAGGCCTGTCTCACACACTGCACAGTGCTGTCTGCACGGTCATTCTGCTTTTCTGACAGTTTCGACCACAGACTGAGGAAGAAAACAATAATGATGATTCTCCAAAATGCACTTCTGATAAATAAATATTACACTGTAATATAATACAACATTTTACTATAATGGGCAAACATGCTATCAATTGTACAATTAAATAAACAGGATTCAGATTCAAATAGATTCAAATTCATTATTACAGACATTTTTGCTTTGAACAGCTTGATATTTTATTTCATTTGTTAGGCAACATTTCTGTATGTACCGGCAATATTGTTGTGTAACTGTGTCCACAATAGAAAGGACATCACTAGGGGGCTCCTCTTCTGGTGGGACCATTCGGAGGGCCAGGGCAAGGTCACGAACTTTGCCCTCTAAAGACTCAAGGTCTCTCTCAAATGTCTATGAGAAATATAATTAAAAAGAAAAATAGTCAGGTTTGAATTTATTGACTTTCTCTAAAGTTTCAGAACAAACCAACTGAACATGGATTAATTAATATTCTCCCACAATACCTTGAAGCTATGCCAGTTCTCCTGTAGCTGGCTGACATTCTGGCTACCCACCAGAAATCCTAAAGAGTGGTCCTGAGCACGCAGCTCATTCAGAAGACTCTCTGCTTGCTCTCTGAGAATCTGTGCTCTGCCAGCAAGCCTGAGGTCAATATCACTCAGTCTGGCCTCACACACAGCTAACCGTTCCCTCATCTCTTTCTCAGAGGACTCACAGAGGTTATGAAGATGGCTGACCTCTAAGGTCAGGGCATCACAACCTCCTGGAGTGCAAAGATTCATCAGGGAATCTTTAACGGCAACCAGATCTTTCATTTCTCTCTTCTCCCTGTCTATGGTCTGAAGAAGAGCCTACAAAATTATAATAAAAAATATATAATTTTATTTATTAACAGGTTTGCCAAAAAACTGAAAAATCTATTAAATCTTATATATATATATATATATATATATATATATACACACACACATCAAAGAATTCAAACAGACCTTAAGAGTGTTGATAGAGCTTTGTAACCCATGACGTTCAGTGGGCAGAGCACCGAAACCTTTGACTTGCTCACTCAGCCAATCCTGTGCTACAGTGTGCTGCTCAACTAACTGAGCACAAACTCGCTCTCTCCGGATTTCCTCTTCGAGATTTACACAAAGCTCCTACTCAAGCACACATAAAAAAAGAATGAAGAGAAGAAGAATGTCATACACGTAAATCAAGTTTCTACTATCTATTAGTCACGATTAGTCAGAAATATTTAGATCTACAGCCTTACCGTAAGATCTTTGATTAACTCAGGTATGCACTCCTCTATGGTGGCCCAGGATGGATCAATCCAGCTGGAATCACGGGTCAGCTGGCTCATCTCCCTCCCAAGTGCTCGGACAGCAGACAGAGATGGGGTCAGGGCTCTGGTACGATCTAGCAGACTCTTGGCTTGCTCCAATGTGTGCCTTCGATCCCCTAAACCAGGCCAGGGGAAGTGCCGCGGCAGTGCAGCAGTCTGCTGTTTCACCTGCTCCAGACGAGACTGAAGCTGGTCCTTCTGACACTGACAGGACACCAGACGTTCCCTTACACTTTTCAGCAGACTGCAGAATGAGCAGTAATATATGATATGATACGAGTACATGGGCTCGGAATATATTTATAAATATGATTATTTGCAATTAATTTCAATCATCTAGCAGTGATTTGTGCAATTACTTTTTACATACAGAATTGTCATATCAAACCTATGCAGCTCCTGTGCTTGCTGCAGTGTTGTCTTCCACTCCTCCTCTGCATTTTTCATCTTTTTAATGAGAGAATGTCTTGCATCTTCATCAAGATCTTCACGGTTAAAAAGACGATCTACTGTCCATTTCAGGGCTGCAATCTTAGAGTTGCCCTCAGAGTGCAGACTTAGAATTGCCTGAAAGACAGAGAGGTATGCTTGTTCTTGACTGTCACATTTTTGTTGATCATGTGCAATGCAGTTGAACTTCTTTTAATAAGTGTTTTACTACAGACATTTAATTTCTTCTTCTGTTTTTCCATATTGTACAACTTACTTGTGCTTTGCTTAGTCTCTCCTCAATCTGCTCCAGTGTACCATGAGTGCTTTCCCCCAGTAAGTCCAGGCCATCTTTCTGGTTCTTCACCCAGGTCCAGGTGCTCTCCTCCTGGGTACAGACATTCTGAAGCTCCCTCGCAAGAGAATCCTGGAGCTCCGCCTGGTTCTTTAGTTCTTGAGCACTTGCCAGGACCTTCTTCCATTGTTCTTCAATGGATCTCAGGTTCAGCTGGATTTCCAGTTTTCTTTTCTCCTTCAGGCCTTCTCGAGAACACAAACCCTCTGCTTTCCTCCTCAGGTTGGCTAGCTTGTAATCCCCCTCTGATTCTGAGTTTAGGATGGCCTAGAGTAAACAAACCATGCCAGCGAGTAAGCCAAACTGTTTTCTTTAAGTACATATTTGGTGAAGGTTGAATATCACTCTTTGTCTCTTACCTGAGCTCCATGCATTCTCTCTTGTAACTGAGTCTCCTGACCTAGCAATTCAATCTTCAGATGCTGCTGTTTGAGCCAACATTGAGTGTTCTCCTCCTCTTCTTGAAGATCCTGAAGGTCCTTAGAAAGAGAATCCTCAAGTTCTGATTGGTTCTTCAGTTCCTGAGCCTGCATCAAAACTCCCATCCACTCTTGCTGTACATTTTGTAATGTATGTTGGATTGTCTGACATTTGTCCTCCTCTAGATCTTCACAGGAACATAGATTCTCTCCCTTCGTCTTTAGGTCAGAAAGTTTATAGTCCCCCTCAGATCTACGAGTTAGTAGTGCCTAAAAACAAAAACAAAAACAACAACAAAAGACAAAAACAAGATATTCATATAGAACATAATTTTTTTTACCATTCTTTTATTTTTCATGCAATCATGTAAGCCATCAAAGCTTTTTCCCAGGTAAGTAACAAAACCTGTCCCATCACTTCATGTACAAATCATATTTGTGTAGCCTTACATTTTGAATGCTTAAGATGTGTTGGCTACCATTTTTAGTCGTCTGATATAATCCAATATATGCCCTGAGCAGTTGCTCCATTTTCAATATTACATTTTATCATAAATTAGGCTTACTCACTCACTGTCCCTTCCCAAGCCTCTCACGTACAAAAAACATTTAAGGGTTTAATTTTCCTCTCTATTACCTCAACTCCAATAAGCCTCTCTTGAATGGAAGATGTCACATGAAGGGAATCCAGGGTCCCTCCGAGATGTCTAATCCAGGATCGAGTGTCCTCTCCCTGATCACAGAAAGTTTGTAACTCTCTGTAGAGAGATTCCTCATGCTTGACCTGGTTCTTGAGCTCCTGGGCAAGTTGTAGCACTGTCCTCCACTCCTCCTCTACTGCTCTCTGGGTTTGGTCAATGTGGCTCCTCCTCTCATTCTCAAGCTCTTCATAAGAACATAAATGTTGTCCTTGTCTCTGTAAACTGGCCAATCTGGAATCGGCTTCATCACCAAGATCTATGACAGCCTAGAGGATGTACAGACATTACTCCCAACACAGTATGTGCACTGCTAGCAACCTTTACTCACTTTTACCTGGGTTAGAATCATGCAAGAGCAATGAAAAGATTTTAATAAAACAAAATGTTTTCCTCTGTCTTTACCTGTACTTTGTTAAGTTTTTCATGTGGCTGAAGCTCCTTCCCCAAAGAGTGCAGCATTTGTAGTTGTTCTCTCACCCAGGATTGGATGCTGTCTTCCTGGGCCTGTAGATCTTCTAGTTCCATATTGAGAGTGTCTTGGAGTTCTGCCTGATGTTTTAGTTGTTGAGCCATATCCAGAACTCTTTTCCACTCATCTTCAATGTTTCCAAGGGTGTGAATGAACCCCTGTCTTCTGGTGTCCTCCAAAATCTCATAAACACATAAAGCATCACACTCTTCTTTCAAAGCCACGAGTTTAGCCTCACCCTCAGGACTAAGATTAAAAACAGCCTTAAAACAGAGGGGAAAAAAACAATTTTATTTTAAATACACTGAGGATATTCATCATTCCTTTCAGTGTAAGATGTTTGACCAGTTGTTCCCTCAAAATACAGCTTAAAAATCCAAACAATGAGGGTTAGGGGGCCCACCTGAGTATGTATGTGTTTTTCCTGTATTGGTGTGTCTGTCCCCAAGTACTCAAGTCCTTGCTTTACATTTCTGATCCAGGCTCTGATCTGTTCTGCATTGGTTTGGAATGTTTCAATTTGATCATCAAGGGTCTTGTGGACTTGGACCTGATTCTCCAAAAGAATCCCCAGGCTGTGGTATCGGTCTATCAGGGTCTCGGTGTCTCTAAGGAGAGGGTCTCCCCTCAGGCCACGCATCCTTACAGCAGATAACAGGTCATTGAATGCCTCCACATGACCGCTGTGGATTAAGGGTGAAAGTAAGAGTAATGGAGGTTTTATATAAAATAAAAGACTGCACAATTAATCAAAATAAAATTGAAGTCATGATATGGCTTAGTTCGATTATCAAACTGCAAAAGGCTGCAATTTAGTAAATGATGAAGTCCGGCACTGTGTTCAGTTGCATGCAAGCAGCTCATGATGCAGTGCTTTCAGCATCTTGGAGCGGTTGGTTTTCCAGAAAAAATTAAAAACGCTGCTCAACATGAACTCCATCTCTGCATGTGCTGCAAGTTTGGCTCACTTATAGTGTGCATTTGGGAATCAGGATCATTTGATTTTCGTATTCAGTCAATTTCAAACATTTTGTGGACAGAATTTTTGCATTTTACCAGATTTGTACCAAGACTTAATTTTTGACAAACAATAAACCTGTGGTCAACTAAAAACAGAAACTTAAAGTTCTCCTTGCAGTTTTCCACCAAATTAAAAACTTGAGATTTTAAAATCTGACATAAATATTAGTATTATACCGTAAACTGTAAAATACAATTATTGTAATTAAATATTTATTATTATTGTATAATATAATTGTAGCTACAAAAGTTATATATTTCTCTTTATTTTTCTAATTATAATAAAAATATATATTTTTTAAGTTAATATTATTATTACCACAAATTACAAAATGAAATATTTTATTTACCTTCTTGTCACGTGACCATTAACTAACATCAGAGAACCATGAACATGCAAATGTGTTGTTATATTATTTCATTATAGTTTAATCTGTCTAAAAGTCTAAAAAATACTAAAGTTATAAACAAAAATACAAAATTTACATTTTGAATAGTGAGTGGTACCTTTCTTTAAGAAAATCCTCTTGGATTTGCCTTAGTTTTTCTCTCTGTTCTGGCACTTGCTCTCTCTGCTGCAGCCAGTCCTTCAATTGATTATGTTCCTCTTGCAAACTAAATACAAAGACATGAATGAACTGAAACAACAGTAACAACCAAAAGCAATGATGAGAACTTCTTCCATGTACCTGTTGAGGTTGTGGAGGATGTCATCTAGCTGTTTATGGCGTCCCTGGCAGTGAGCCCTGAGTGTGGCCAGTTCTCCTTCCTGTTCCTGATGCCATGTAGAGAGCAAAGCTTGAGCCTCAGTAGGGAGCTTTGCCTGTCCACCTCGCTCAAACCTCTCCTTCAACTGAGCCAGACGCTGTTCTCCTTCTTTAGAGGCCAGGAAACTCTGAAGAAAACACAAACTGTTCAGTACAGTTGAACTAAATTTGAACCCTTTTGACTAAGGCTGCTATCACCTGGTGACTCTTGCCATTGGATTGCTGTCCCTGCAATCAGTGTATTGGACAGCAAATCTCTTTGACTGAAAAGTATTTCAAAAATTTCCTAGCTACAATGGAAATCATAATCATTAGTGTTGGGACCTCACTGTTACTCACTGTCAGTCTCTGCATAGATGTTTCTACATCCTGCTTTCTCTCAGCGTTCTCAAAGCACTCATTCACAGCGAGCTGCTCATCCTGCAGCCATTCCTCAAATGACTGAAACTCTTCTGCAGAGAACCAATAGGACAAATCTCAAATCACTTTTTCCACTTTTACATTGTTTAATTGTAGCAATGGAGCAATGTAGCAATGTAGAATGCGGTTTTTCAAACCTTTAATAGTCTGAAGGAAGCTTTTCTCCCCTTGTTCCTTCTTCTGACGAATCAGCTCCCATGTTTCCGCAATGCTGTCTTTGAGGTGCTTACTACGATTGGTCAGCTCCTCCAAGGCCTGTGATCCAGTAATGCTGGACATGAGATTGATTTCCTTCAGCAAAGATTCAGCCTGCCCCTCCTGGTCCAAAAGCTGCTCACACAAGTCCTACAAACAGAAAATAAAATCGGTTATATACCAAAACAGTGTGTTTAGGCATGTCTGCTAATCATACCTGTAAATGTGCATCCAGCTCTGCGCGATCCTCTGAACTGATCATATCTACTGAGGAGTGTATATTCTTCACAGATGATTGATAGGTGTCAATATTTTCTATCAGATGAGCTTTAACTGTAAGGAGCTCCTGGAACACTTCAGTGCAATCGGAGAAGAGTTCCTTCACCTGCTCCATTTTTTTCCTCAGGTTTGTTTCCATTACCTAAGGAAGACAATGTGTGTGTGTGTGTACATTTAAAAGTAGGAATAATAAGGAATTAGGAAAGTCTAATAATTTAATAAACAGTAAAAGATGCACATTCACCTGTAATTCAAGAGGAGATTCTTTGCTCTGCAGCAGTTCCTGGATCTCTAGTAACTTCCTATGGAAGTGTTCAAGGTTGTCCTCCTGACACTGAATCTCATTCTAGTATACACACAGAAGACTCCATGGAATCAAAATGACATTTTGTGACTTTTAGTCCATGCCTGTGAATATTTTGAATCCTTTTAAGACAGATGAAGTATTTTTTTGAAGACACACCTTCATGCTGGCAACCTCCGTCTCACTGCTGAAAGGGTGAGACTCTGAAAAGATAATGAGTTTAGTAGAAGTCCAGCTGTCCACCTCTCCACCCAGAACCAGCTGTTTCTCCCACAACTCCAGACCCACACGCAGGTTATCCATGTAACTATCTGTCTTCTCTGACACCTGCCAGAGAGACACACAGATTTACCAAGAATCTAAAATGACTGAACAAAATGTGATGCATGTGAATAGATGTTTTTCATATCCTCACATCCAGCCATGAGTCCACCAAAGCATCTGCCTCCATCTCAAATGGAGTTTCCGAGCAATCAGGAATTTTCTTCAGCTGGGACTGCAACTGTCTGCACACAGATCTGAACTCCTCCATCTTGGGTCCAAGGCTTTTAAGATCCTCCTTTATGCCAACGACCTACAATATACAGACAGCAACATTACTAGAAATAGAAAAATTGAAATAGAAACAGTATGAGATAAAATAAAATAAAATGACTGTGGTGGTGGTAGTCTGATGGTTAAAGATCTAAGCTACTCTAACTAAGTAGACATAACCAGGCTTTTTTAATCCTGCCTTTGAACATGAGCACTTATTACTACTATTGTTACTTAATTGTAGACTACACATTGATAATAAATTACCTAAAGTTTTATTCATAACTCTACAAATAAATGTACTGCAGGCCATGGAGGATCTGAACAAATAATCAAATTAATTAGAAAATTAAAATTATTTAAAATTAATTTAACATTGGCACTGATTTGTCAGAACAAATTGGAAAGAGAAGCCTCTTTGAGATTAATAAAAGTGAAGCCCTTTCTGTACATGCAGATGAAGCAAATTGTGATTAATGCTGATACAAAATTAAAGGGATAGTTCACCCAAAAATGAAAGTTCTGTCATTAATTACTCACCCTCATGTTGTTCCGACCTGCAAGACCTTCGTTCATCTTCGGAACACAAATTAAGATATTTTTGATGAGATCCGAGAGCTTTCTGACCCTGCATAGACAGCAAGGGTACTACTACATTCAAGGCCCAGAAAGGTAGTAAGGACATTGATAAAATAGTTAATGTGACATCAGTGGTTCAACCGTAATTTTATGAAGCTATGAGAATACTTTTTGTTTGCAAATAAACCAAAATAATGACTTTATTCAACAGTTTCTTCGCTTCTCTGTCAGTCTTTGACGCACATTCACGACAGTAACACGCATTGCGTGTGGTGCTGCTGACACAGGAGCTGGCATTCTGACGTAGAACCCAGATGTGCTGCACCTTGTTTGCAAGCAGAGGAATGCACACATATGCGTCATGGTACTGTTGTGAACGTGCGCCAAAGACTGACAGGTAATAGAAGAAATTGTTGAATAAAGTCGTTATTTTTGTTTTCTTTGTGCACAGTAGTGTTCTCGTAGCTTCATAAAACGTGGTAGTTGTGTTGCTGTCTATGCAGGGTCAAAAAGCTTTCGGATTTCATCAAAAATATCTTAATTTGTGTTCTGAAGATGAACAAAGGTCTTACGGCTTTGGAACTATATGATGGTGAGTAATTAATGACAGAATTTTCATTTTTGGGTGAACTATCCCTTTAAATTACAGGATGAACTTAAAATAAGACTGCTTCGTACTAAGCTCTACTGTACATCTCTGTCTGAATTGTAATATCTGACCCCTAGTGATGCATATCCAGTATAAAATTACTTTTCTGTGAAAGAAACCAGGCAATTATAACATTAGCTTGCATTGTGATTAGTCTGAGGTTGACATACTTTTGCAAGGAGTCTTTGTAGGCTGTCTTTGCCCATGTATGAAGCTTGCTCATTGATGGTTTGCTCCGCCCTCTGGAGAGTATTGCCCAGGTAACTGCGACAGCTCTGAAATTTCTTCAGCAGTTCCGCAAGAACAGTGCACTGCTCTTGTCTGTCAAACACACACACACACACACACACACACACACACACACACAGGGTTTCTGTCAATTACACCTGTAACTAAAGGGATAGTTCACCCAAAAATTCACCCAAAAAACCTGAATGAACTTCTTTCTTCTGAATGTGGGTAACCAAACAGTTTCTGGTCCCTATTGACTTCCATAGATTTTTTTTTTCCATACTAAGGAAGTCAATGGAGACCAGCAACTGTTTGGTTACCCACATTCTTCAAAATATCTACTTTTGTGTTCAGCAGAAGAAATAAATTAATACAGGTTTGGAACAACTTGATGGTGAGTAATTGATGACAGATTTTTCATTTTTTTGGGGTGAACTTACCCTATAAGAAAGAAAAATGGGTGAATTGCATTATTTAGTTTAGAGTAAATCTCAACTTGGGTATAGAAACCACCTGTCAGATACAGCTCTTTCAGTCTCTTCCCAAAGGAATTCAAGTTCCTCATTTGCTGGATCAGGGTGCTCTTTCTGTGGAGAGACTTCAGACAGAGCCTTCTTGATGCTTTGGTATTCAGGGCGAAGAGAGTTCAGTTGTGATTCGAGATCAGACAGCGCTCGCATCCTAAACATAGTTGTATACACAGTGTCAGAAGAATGAAGTAGAACACACAGAGTTACTGTAAGTCAACTTTTGTTGTATAGAAAAAACAAATTGGACATTCTATGAATGAATTGTATCATTTGCTTATTAGTTCAAATTAATCTCAATTAATTCCAAAATCAATATTTACTGAGCCCAAATAAAGACAATTCCAAGACCACAGCATCTGCATCATGAGGTCTAGGGAAGAAAGATCCATACCGGTGTTGCACAGCTGGCATGGTGGGATCTTTTAGACCCTGTTTTTCTGCTGCCACCTGCACCTTCCTCAACTCAGCCTGCATAGTCTTCCCCCTCAGACCGTGGCTCTGGTTCTGCTGTTCCTTCTGGAGCTCATTCTGTCGAATCATCAGTCGATCATCTGCCTCTTCCACCCTGTGAACCAGTACCCCCACCATGTCCAAACAGGAAACAGGTCTCCCATCCTGTGTCACTTCAAGCTGTGCTCCACCTAAAAGCTGGTCCAGCTGTGGAGCCTTATCCTTAAGGCTGCTGACTCCCTTTCTGATTAGTGCCAGCTTGGACCTGCTGTCCTGCAGGACCACTGCATCATTGCTGGGGGCACTTTGCACAGAAGAGACATCAAGCTCCACAGTGCGAAGGGACATGAGGAAGCGGTCGAGAGCACGGGCAGCAGCGTCACTCTTGCGCACTTGTTGCCTGAGCCGGTCCAGGCTGGATCTGTGGTTCAGAACCACCTGGGTCAGAGGTGATCGGTCCCGCAGGTCTAGATGACTGGGCTCAGAGTCGAATCGAGACAGACGGTCCATCTCTGTCTGGATACTTTCATCTAAGTCCTGAAAATAAGAGGGAGAGGTAGATATTTAGATAAAAATGGGATGGAGGCAGATAACTTAGTTTAACATGCAGTGAAATTACTACTAAATACTTTACATTAAACATTCTTGTCTCTCAGATCATATTATATTATTGTATATTATATTATATTTAAATAGTAACTGCACAAAGCACTGATAGATGATTCAAATTAATTGCAAATAATAAAATACAAATTAGTAAATATTATTATGAATAATACTAAAATATTAAAAACAATAACTATATTATTTATATTATATATTTTATTATATGTTGCATGGGAAAGATAAAACTAACGACATTAACAAATAAAATGGCATTTAAGTACTTGTAAATGTCTCTTTTAATTTGCTCAGTGTACATAAAAATAGAATAAGTGAATATAATTATGAATAATGTAAAAATATTAAAAACAATATCTCTATAGTCTCTCACCTTCACATCTCTCAAAATGGTAGGGTTAGCTAGTGTATATCCCTTAATGTCTTTGGGCTCTTTGATGAAACTGTCCAGCCTTTCAGAAATCTCAGAGATCTTCAGCTTAATAGAGTCCATGAGCTCAAGTGCTGCTCCCAGTGAATCCACCCTGACAGAATTCATAGACGTATTTAACAAACACAAGACACACACACACATACACTCAAGTTCTGGCTACAGGGTATTTTCTCAGGAACTCTTTAATTTGAGCAGATCATGATTCTTTGGGTGGTACAGAGTGAAAGTGAACACAAGAAGCTGTAATATGATTTTATCTGAATATTAATTTCAGCTCACTAGTTTTAAAACACACATTAAAGCTTATACTGCTCTGAAAAATCAGTGTAATGTCATGTCTGAACACACATATGATAGGGATGTTTTCAGAATGCACACATACCTGCCCTGTAACTGTAACCTCTGCTCTCTCCACCGGACAGTGAGCTCCATGCGGTCTTGCTCAACAGCTCGTTCATTGTACTGAACACATTGCATACACAGCGCTTCATACTCCTTCCACAGAGACTCAGTCTCATGCCACAGAGACTTAAACACAGACAAAAAAAGAGGGTTAAAATTGAATAATTTCCGTGGCAGTTATTTTAGTTTCTATGGCCTGATTTTTATAGTAATTGTCATTTGAAAATTCATAATATCAAATGGCCAACTTTTAAACAAAACACTGTGCATTACCTTTAATTCTCTCAGTCGTTTCTGCAGGTCTGTGGGAGTGACTGATTCTGAGGTACGATCTCCAAGCATGCATTGCTCATTTCTGTTTAACTGAGCCTGTAATGCAAATCTGGAGCTGCGGTACCTAAGCAGTTCAAGAAAAAGGCATAAACCATAAGATTCTGAAACAATATCACATGCAATCATTTACAGAAACACATAGATATTCTCTTTTTATATCCATACCTGTCGTCTTCTGTACTCGTTTGTTTCACTATCTCTCTCTTCTCCACAGATCTCGGTTGCTGGGGGCTAACAGGTGTAACAGCCTAAAACAAAATGTACCAAAATTTTTAGATAAAATTATATAAGTTTAAAACATAAGTTCTATAAAATAATTATATAGTTGTACCTCTGAAACAATAACCTGTTTGGGCTTCTCAGGTGGGGGTGGGACTGTTGGTGCTTTCTGAGTGAGTGGCTCTTTTGTTTGCTCTGTTTGTAAACTATTAGGCATTGAAAAATTAATACATTTATGCTAAAATTGTTTCATCAGACTAAAATAACCGATATGTGAAAGGCTTTTTCTGTTACCCAGTGTCTGGAGGAGATGTATCTCTGTCTCCACTGAACTGCCACTGGATGGCAGCAAGCCGTCTCTCACATTCTCCGAGTTGGGCTTGTGCAAGCCTGTGTGCGTCCTCAGGGCTCAAAGTATCACACAACTCCTTCAGAGCTTCTAGCTGCTGTCCTGCCTCTGCCAGACTGTCCTCCTCAGACAAACAAGCCTGCAGGAAGAGAGAGGGGAAAAAACGTAACCTACTTATATGTATATTTTTTGTTATTTTTACTCATATCTTATCATTTATCATTTTATTTACTTACACTATTTAATGCTACTTTCATTTATTTACTTTCCACTGTTGTTTTATTTTGCAGTATTTTTAAGCTAAGTTTAAGGTTGTGCCATGTGCCAAGCAAGTGAGTAGTGATGTGGTTAAGAGGAAAGACAAGAATTAGAAGGGATTAATTGACACCAAAAGCAAACGTTTAATTTATAAAACAAAGGAGGAAATAAAATGTAGCTAAGAGATTTTCATCCCCACACCCATTTGTCCATATGACTGTTCATGCTCCGTGGTCAGGGTAGCTGTAATTTTACCTCTTCTTTTGATTCTGATATTGATTCAGGCCTAAGGTTGATTTTTTCCCTCTTAAAGTTTATCTCACATGTCTCCACCACACGGTTAAAATGCAGGCGGGTTAACTCAAATCGGAGTTGCTTCAAAAATTCTGATATTTGCACTCGAACAGCCTAAAAATATTAATCAAATAAAAAAAACACAACAGCAAGCAGACAACCTCTTAATGTTTGTAACTTCACATACAATCAGTTTAATACAGTGTAGAGCATTTCAGTTAGTATCTAAAATAAAAATGGTTAATAATATTAAAGTCACACTGCAGATATAGACAAACAAGCACTAATATTACTATACAGATACCTTCCACTGTGTTCTAACGGATTGTGTAAAAAACTCCATGTCTCTTATTTCAGATGGGGTGCAGAAAGCTTCCATCCCTTCTGCAGCCCTCAAGAACTCTTCAAGAAGTTCAGGGTCCAGAGTCCGAAGCGTCTCCTAAAAAAAAAAAAACCCCAACACAGATACTTGGGGAAATTAACCAACATCTCTTATAAAAGATACAGGCACAACAATATAGTTTAATCATATTAGGCTTTTTTTAGCTCTTGCAAACACTTGAGGAAAACAAGCAAACTAACTCATGACTAAAATGGACAAACCTCCTTAACTGATGCCTGTTCGTTCGTCATTTGCTTTTCCTTGAATACACTGATAGCTTCTATAATATGCTCTTGAAGACAGTGCTTGGCTTCCTCAAATCTATTTCTAACCAGGGCCTGTGCCTTTATATAAGCCTCAGTGTAGGCTTGAGGGGGTGCCTGGGCAAGAGCTGACTGCTGTTGGGGTATCAGATCTTGGGACTGAAGCTCTGCCTGGGGAGCTTGGCTTTGGATAAGGGTTTCAGATGGGGCCTCTGGCCTGGATGAACTCCACTTTTGCTGACTTTGCTGAGGCTGTTGTGGAATCTGAGGTCTTATAGGAGCTTGAGCAGGTGGTTGATTCCATGGAGCTACTGGCTGGGGACCACCATGGAACGTAGTCTGGGAAGAGACTTGAAACTGATGTTCTGGCCGGACTGGACCCCACTGCCATTGAGGGCTTGGTTGCCTTGGTGGGGCTTGATATTGGGACTGAGAATGTGGTCCTATGGGCCCTTGGGTTTCAGACCCGGGGTATACTGGACTGACAGGCCTCCAGTGCTGTGAGGAAACCATATGCTGAGCTGGACCTTGGGGTCTCATCTGTGATTGACACCAAGGTGATTCAGGTCTAGCAGAGGGCCACTGCTGAGGCTGTGATTGCGGTTGGTTTTTAGGGTAAACTGCCATTTGAGATTGAGGGTGGACTACCTGACCTGGAACTTGGACAGTGGGGTAGGTCTGGGCCACTATGCCTGGTCTTATTGGTGACCACTGCTGAGGTTGAGCTGGAGGGATACTTTGAGGTTGGGGATGAGTTTGGAAATGGGCCAGTGGCTGCATCTGGGCAGCAAGAGAAATTGGTCCTTGGACTTTGGGGTATGTTTGGGTGACGTCTCCTGGTTGATACCACTGGGGTTGCCCCTGAGGTTGAATCATAAGTGGTGCACTTCCCTGTGCTTTGACCTGAGTTTGGGTTTGAGATTGAACAGGCATCTGGGGTCGAGGCATAGAGATGATTCTGGGTTGTATGGTGGATGCACCTTTAGGTTGAGGGGAAATTACAGTCGGATTGTGCATTGTGGGTTGCTGGGACTGAGCCTGCACTACACAATGTGGTGACTGTTGTCTCTGCAACATTATTTGTGGTTGAATGGGTGATGCTTGGTACTGTTGGGCTGGTCCGGAAGTGCCTTGAGGCATTGTTTGGGCCACTGAAAATCTTTGTGGTTGTGGCACTGCAGGATGAGTTTGAGCAATAGTCTGTTGTGGCTGCCATTGGGCCATAACCTGTGGTTGCATGGGTGTCATGGATTGAGATTGTGCCTGTTTCTGGATCATCACTTGAGGTTGCTGTGGTGTCACTATCTGAGGTTGCTTTTGTTGCTTAATGGGTGCAGTAGCTTGTAGTTGTTGTGTAGTTGTTTGAGCTTGAGTTGATAAAGAGGGCTGAGGTTGGGTTAATACTTGTTTATGAATCGGAACAGTCACTGTCTGTTGTGTTTGTTTTTGAGTCGTTGATTGTGCTGGAACTGCTGGCAAAGTTTGAGGTAGTTTTCGTGTTACTACAAGAGGTTTCTCTTGTGCAACAGGCTGAGCTGGCTTCAGGTCTTTCTCATCACTCTCAACAATGCTTTTTGAGCTAGGTGAGCTAACAGTCACTATATGCTGTGGTGGTGTTTGAGAACTTAATTGGCATTTGTCCTGAGGCTCTGACTGAGATTGCGGCACCAACTGTGGTGCTGATTTTTGGGTAACATTTTCCAATTGACTCTTCTGCTGAAGCCAAGGTCTGTTCTGCAGATGTGCCTGGGACTTCTTTACTTTCCTCTGCTGCTTTGGAGCTTGCTGTGCTTGTGTTTCTAGTTGGCCCTGAGGCTGTGACTGGATTGGTACTTGTGGTTGAACCTTCTGCTGTTTTGCAAGCTGAGTTTTCTCTTGTTGCTGTATGTGCACATATGGCTGTGTTGCTAATTGTTGTTCATTATGTACTTGTGATTCTGCTTGTTGTAGGTTCTGTGAGGGTTGGCTAGCTACTGGACCTTGCACCTGCCCCTGGTTTTCTGTCTGTTGTTGTGTCACAGGTTGTGGTAAAGATACCTGGCTTTCTACACGATGCTCTATGTCAATTTTTGTTTGAGCATGGACTTTCTGTGACTTAACTTTAATGGACTGAGAGTCTTTCACTTGCATACAGGGGTGCATTTGTGATTCTGGACTACTTTTCTCTGCTTCATAGTCTTGTACAACAATCATAGGCACAGTCTGACTACAAGGCTGGGTCTTCAGGTCTACAACTTGAGAAGATACCTCTGACGGTATTTGAGAATATTTTGGGACTTTGGCCCTGACTGCAGGCTGAGGTTCTGTTTGGCCAGAGGCTCCTGATGGAGAGATAGGCTGGAAGGAGGCTTTTTGGGTTTGGGACTCTTCCTCTATCTCATGATACTGTACAAAGATCTTGGAAGGGGGCTGGTCTCTAACAGGGCTTCTGTCTCTGCAAGCCCCTAAAGAGCTGAGCATCCCTATGGCTTCCTGTTGAGATTTAGCAAAATTTCAAAATCATAATTCATTTGCATGCAATTCTGAAACAAGGTTACTCATTCCTAGGAATTAAAGGAAAATAACAGAAAACATAATTTATGGCATAACTGATAATTATTGAAAGAGCTGATCCAATGCTATAGATTAACTTTTTTTGTTGTTAATCTAAAAGCAGTCGACAGACCTGTGACTTTTCAACAGCAGTGCGGACTCTGTCCTGCATGGTGGATACGATGAGATACTGCAGTGGTGAAGTCTTTTGACTATTCATGACCATCACCTGCAGATCCTGCTCCTCCATAACCACCTGACCCTCTAACTGTAGACCCCTTGAAATCAACAGCTACAGGGCAAGAGAGAAGAGCCCTTTATTCCAAATCAGCTAAGTAAAGTGATGTATGAATATTTTGTGTTGCTTGTAGATACTCACCCGTGCTCTGGGGTCTTGCCCTCTTCTCTTCCTGTGTGTTTCCTCCTTCAGGAGCTGATACAACTCTCTGGCTTCCATCTCCCAGTGTAACAGTTCAGCAAGACGCCCATCCAACCCGCTCACACTCACGCGCAGCTCATCACACACCTGCTCTGCCTCACACAGTGTCTGCAAGACCTAGATATACACACAAAAAACAGAAATACATACAGACATCAGTAAAGATCATTATTAGTGTTAGATTAACATTTTAAAAATGTGATATTCTGCTAATATGATACTATATAATTTGATCGCATACACAAAGGCAAGAAAAGTAACACAATGCACATGAAGACCTAAAGGGCCAACCAAAGAAATGCGTTTGCTTACTTCAGGTATAGCTTGCTGAAGTTTGCTCAGGGTTTCTGGAGAGCAGTCTAGAGATGGCGAGAGGGCTTCTAGATCCACATCCTTTATTTTCGTCATGATAAGCTGGAAGAAATAACAATTTTAAGTTAAATCCTACTTGGTCTATTCTTAAATGTAGAAAACAAAAAGACAAAGCAACAAAACCACAAATGCATACTAATAAAAAAGCAGGGAATATGAAGTATATATTGTGTGTTTTTATGTATGTGTGAGTGTGTGCATAAATGTATGTGCACACACTGCATACCTGTAGTCTCTTTGTGTAAGTACGTAGTGATCCAGAAACCACCTCCACAGGTTCTTTCAGTAACTGAGTGGCCTCCCTTATCAGAGACTGAACTGTCTGAGCACTAGATGGGCCAGCACTGGGCTCCTCAACTAAAGACTGAAAATATACAACTTGCTTCAAAATACTACAAAAGGCAATCTATTTTATATCTCTGTCCAATGCAATCAGACAAAACAATGTATTGTTCCTATTCAAGATAAGCACACGTTTTTTAATACTTTATTTTATGATTATGGTTGCACATGGAGTATCCAAGTTTGAACATGATGGGTAACTTACAAATTGGGCTGTTTTGGCAAAGTCAGCCCAGAGCAGATTTATCTTGCAGAGTTCATCTGAAATAGTGCGGCTAGACTGTGGGTCTGTGACCTCTGTCAAGTAGTTGGCCACCTCATTCAGGTGAGCTTGGCGAGAACTCCACTCTGACATTACTGATAATGTCACCTAGGAAACCAATGAGAGGGCATGTTTACATTCCAAAAAAAAAAAAAACACCAACAGCCATTAAAAATATTTGAGTTTTGTCTACCCAGAGCATGGATTGACAGTAACTTCAATAACAAAGTAAATTCAGATTTTTCTCTATAAATGTGTTTGTTCACCTCTGTTCTCTGCCTGTGTCGCTGGCCATGTGGACCCTGCTCCAGCCATGCGCGCAATGAGGTGTAGATATCACTGTAAGAGTCCCATGCTGCCAAAACACGGCCCATAGTACCCCTCACCATCCGTACACCCTCCAGAGTCACTGTCACATCTGCTTCCATATCAGCCACCTGATGATTTACCTGAGTCAAGTCTCCAGCTGAAGCAGACATCAGAATATCAATAATTATTGATTGTTCAGTAACAAGACTTTTCACAAAAATGCAGAAGATACATTTTTAACAATTTTACAGTTCTTCATACATCTATAGTTTTTTATTGTCATTTCGTACTTATTTACACTGTAATTTTATGGTCATTTAGGAGCATGCATACACAGTTCCTTTGTATTACCCAAGGCAGCCTTGCTGGTGTATTTGTTGGCGATTAGTTTGAGTCTATGGAGGGCTCCATCCAGCAAAGAAGTCAGTTCCTGTTTGTTCACAGTCTCCTAAAAACATTCATTATGATCAAAGCTTAAAGCATCCACAATTTCAGACTTCAATGTTTAATTTTAATTGCCAAGCAATGCCCAGGAGCAAAAATATTTTTCGCATTCTGACACTTTGACTTCACTAAAATTCTCACTCACATTCCAGTCCTGCATTAGCACACGAACAGCCTCCTGGGAAATGTAGGCTCTTTTCCAAGATCGCAGTTTAATGTTGAGTTGATTCAGCAGGTCTAACACTGTGTGTCTGCACTCATGGTACTCCAGCTTAATACCATGATATTTAGCTGTTACACGGACTCCGGTGAACCTGGAAAATGGATGCATACACAAAACAATTAAATCGTTTGCTGCATTTTATGAACAGCAAATACTGCAATTAAAAGTGATGCTGTTTCATTTGCAATCGGACTCATGTCTGATTAAGCAACCAAACTCACCTTCTCTTCATCTCTTCCATCTTGTCTGTCGGAACCAGAGTCTCTCCAAACTCATTTGTGTTTTGAAACATATTAAACCTCTTGATATGATGTGGCATCTCCTCCAAACACACCTGCAGATAAACACACAGGCAGAAATGTGACATTACTTACATTTTCATGACTGAACGGCTCTATAGGCATAATAAAACTAACATAAGGAAGTCAGTCAAACCTTTAGTAGCTCGAGTTTCTCCCGGGCCTCCTCTGCGGCTCGGGCATGATCTATTGGCTCACCTTCTTCAGCAGATAAAACCTCTTCAATACGCAATAACCAGCGCCCTACGGTGTCCAGTGGGGGTGGGAGACTCAGGTCTAGCTCTGTTTTATACTCACGCAGCTACCACAGACACATATATCAGTGCAAATTAGCATAAGACTTCTACTGTGTGAATTTCTATACACTAGGAGGAAACTGCTCCCATTTAGATGACATGCATTCAAACATGTTATTTTTCTATTGAGTCTGATGAATCTCAGCACAAAATCGAATACTCAAAATAGATTAATAAAACCCATCAAAAGTAACACAACCAAGAAAGTTTCTGTGATGCAGTGACCTCTGACCTTCTCAGCGAGAGCATCCCATGCTCGTCTGAGAGCTTTCTGCTCTGCACTGAGATGAGGAGTCCTCTTCATCGCGGTTAGTAACGGCATTACAGGCCGCCGCTGTTCGTTAAAGGACACAATGAAGGTGTGGAAGACCTGACACGAAATCATATAAATATTAATGCAAACAAATAAACAACAATAGCAAATAATCATGTACAACAAAACTGGCGCAAATCTAAAAATGTGTTCATTTAGTTTATAGGATATCATAATTCAGTATCTCAACATATTCAATAGATTAAAAAAAAACTGGAATAAAATATTTTTCCGGAACAAAAAATATGTTACATTATTTGCAAATAAATAAATCAATGTTCTTCGCTCAAATTAAATAATGTATTTCCCAGAATAACTTTAGTGCATCTTGTTTCATTCAGCAGTGTGGACTTTTATTTCATTAAAATAAGATTATATCAAAGAATAAGAATTTAGGTCTTACTTGGTATCTCTCAGCATAGCTCTCTCCTTCAGTGGAGTCCCACCCCTCTATCAGCTCCTGATAGGCCTGATCCAACCAGCATGTGACCTCCTGAGCCTTCTGATTGGCTGAGGTCTAGACAGATAGGAACAAAAAGGAAAGATCAACAAACAAAAAAAAAAAGAAAAAAAAAAAAGAGTTGTTTGGCTGCATTTGAAATTGCATACTGCCCTACTGTATAGTAATATAAAAACATTATGTGTAAAGAGTAGCATGTCCGAATTCACAGTTTTCATAAAATAGTAGGCAAAATAAAATAGTATCCATGAATTGAAGGTGCATTCATACCATATAATAATTACCGTGATTACGAGATACCAACTTGTAAAAAGCGTTCACGTCCTCGTAGAACTCGTAATTACAACTTGTGAACTGGGAGTTTTCCGAGAGCTACAACTTGTACACCCTGACCACCTCAGATTCATTAGGTGCTATGTTTAGGAACCCTTGGACTCGGACTCGGAACTATCGCACTATCAAGTCCAAGGGTGTGAACAGCTCCAAGTAGAACGTCACGTGTTGTCATCTCGAATTCACAGTAATTACAACATGGCGTGAATGCAGCATGAATTTGACACCCCTGTACTAAGCAATGCAACGGACGCTGGTAGGTCACATGACACATGCCAACATGGATTAATGTTATAGAACATGCTTTTTTCATTACTTATTCAAAAGAAGTACCTACTCAGACTCAAAGAGTATGCGATTTCGGACACAGCCTTTGAATTTTTTTTAGCAGTACTTTATGGTGCCATTATAATCAAGGTATACAAAACAAAAATATTTTCATATTTCATATGAGGTAAATTATATGGATTAAAATGGGATTAAAGCTGTGCACAAGTTAAACACTATTTGCATTACATACTAAACAGTAAAGCAGAGTTTAGTACTGCAGTCCTCTAGAGGAAGCAAGTTCTTAAAGGTCCCATGGCATGAAAATTTCACTTTATGAGTTTTTTTAACATTAATATGAGTTCCCCTAGCCTGCCTATGGTCCCCCAGTGGCTAGAAATGGCGATAGGTGTAAACCGAGCCCTGGGTATCCTGCTTTGCCTTTGAGAAAATGAAAGCTCAGATGGCCCAATCTGGAATCTTCCCTTTATGTCGTCATACGGGGAAAGGTTACCTCCCCTTTCTCTGCTTTGCCCGCCCAGAGAATTTGGCCCGCCCATGAGAAAATGAGCTACTACCGTGCGAGGCGAGCGCAATATTTTTTTTCCTCGAGAGACATCATGGCTTGCAAACGAGCGAAGCATGGCAGTTGCCCCGCCTCTCTCCTCCTCATTAGCATTTAAAGCTACAGACACAGAAATGGCACGTCCTAAGGAAAGCTCATTGTGGGACTGGCTCGTAGTGGCTGAAATTCTGCACCAAGGCTGAATTTCGGGAAAGAGACTTCAGATACAGTACTAGGGACCACTTAGGCCTATATAAAAGCATCCAAAAAGCAGCATGTCATGGGACCTTTAACACAAACCAACTTTCTCAGCATGTCTGTAATTTAAAAGCTTTTGTTTATGTACCACGAACGCTCAAGTTGAGTGTATTAGAGTCTTCAAACACAAGATCTGCTTTATTAAATAAATTATCTTTAATTCCGTGGATTATCTCTGTAATGTCTGGTTTTAATGGATTAGCTCTGTAATTTCTGGGGTTATCTTCATACAGTAATTGAGTTGACAGTTATTAGCATGTTTATACATGCAAGACACTAGTAGTTACTGAGCATCATAGGGGGCATCTTAAAAGAGGACAGGGTTGATATTTTACCCCAGGGGTAGCTGCTTTAGATGTCTCAGGTGATTTGGGAGGGCCTGATTTGATTGGACAGGGCATTAACAGGTGAGCCTGATCAGAGAACAGTTCAAGTAAAAATGACACAAGTGGACCACAGTAAAAAAAACCAAAAAACTCTTCAGTAAAAATCAGTCAAAAGACCTTTCCAAAAAGTACTAATATGTACCATTTAGGTACTAATATGTACACTTTAGGTACTACTATTTACTTTTAAGGTAGAAAGATGTAGAGGTAAATAAGGTACAAAAGTGTACCTTTTGAAAAAATACTGCTCCAGTGACAGCTTTTGTACCTTTTTTGAGAGTGTACAATATATACTGCATTTACACATTGGTTTAGGATCAAACAACAAGCCAGACAAGTCCAAATGAACCTTTCACAGACATTCATGAATAATCCTGGTAACAAAAACTAATGCACCTTTACCAAACTAAAAGAGAAAAAGCAATTAAGGAATCCAGCAGCTACTGTAAAACTAAGAGAGAGATAGACAGATAGAATTACCTGTCTTAAAGGTGACGCAGCTATAGAAGGAGTAAAGTCTGATGGCAGATTGACAGGAGAGAGGTGCTGAGGAGGAGTGAGATACTAAACCACCATAGAGAGAGAAAAAACAGAAAGAAAAATAAACAGAGGAAGAAGAGAAAAAGAGATGTGAGAGCATAAAGAGTCACTAGAGCATTTCAATTTATTGGAGGAATACTGTCCTGTGCACTCGTTTTGAAATATTATGCTTGGTGAATATTTAAAAATATGTAAAAATACACACAAATATAGTAAAACCTAAGGATGTATGCTTAGTGGAAAATTTCCAATTGAGATTGAACTGAAGAAAATTTTGACTGATTAAAAATTTGATTTTTTTTATTTTTTAAAAAGCTCTATTGTAATTTTGGTTTTATTTTGATTAATCATGATGCCCTACTAAAACACTTAAAGGAACAGTTCAAGAAATAGCTGGAACAAGAGAGTGAATAAATTATGACAGATCTTTAATTTTTGCTTGAACAATTCCTTTATTTTCATGCTTAGGACATGAAATTAGGACAGTGCTCTTTAGTAAAATAGTACTGAAAATTGAAAATATTGTTTTTATTAAAATATAAAAAGTGCAAAAAGTTTCTGTACGAGACCAGATTTAGGGTATAGTCATTGTAAACAGCAAAAAAAAAAAAAAGTCAATGAGAAAAGTGTGCACAATATGTGTGTGCGTGTGTGTGGCTAACCTGCATTTCCTCATCAGAAACAGAAGTATCTTTAGAGTACTGCAGGAACTGAGCAACATAAGTCATAATAGATTTTTCATCAGGATCCCTAACATCAACATCTGAAATACAAATACACCATTCACCTATGATTAGGTCATATAGAAAACAAAAGCCTAAAATTATCACTGCTTGTTGCATACATACAGCAAAACAACACAGCATACATCTGCATGGCACAAACACACACTTACCGGCTGGATCTAGTAGTCTGGGGATGTGAAGTTCTCTTTCAGCAATGTGGAAGGCTTCCTCCAGGTTCTGTCTGTTCGTTCTTGTTCGGGCTCTGGTTATGTCCACTATATTCGGTCTTAGAGCATGAAGTATCGCCAAAAACACTACACCACTCCTCCAGCTCGCCTTAAAATCCTTCACATTCAGAGTACAACCAGCCCTGAGAAAGATGCAAAAAGAATTGGGTTTTATAGAACAGAATCTCACTGTTTCCAAGAATCCCTTCTAGCAGGTTGTTCCTCACCTCTGGCACTGCTCTCTGACCCACAGCAGCAGGGCTTTCTTGGCAGATACGCGGAAACGGGTGTGCAGGGGTGAACCACGGGGTGGCACTGGACTGCTGCGGGCACTGCTGCTGGTCGAACGAGTGTCCAAACTCGCCAGTGACTCCAGAGACGACTGACGAGAACTAAAGTTCAATGTGCTGGCCAACTCTTCGATCTAAACAATGTAAAATACCCATCAGAAAAATCACAAACTTGACAATCACTGTTCTCAGTTGTAGTATATTTGAAGTACATTTTATATTAGTACACTTTATTAGGATTTCTGGAGTCTTGGGGCTAATATCATCTGTATCATCTCTTCTGTTAGACTGAGACAGTAAACTTACATGAATGTGCATGATGATGGTCCAGACGAGACCCAGAATGATGGAAGGTTTCCCGTCCATAATGTCTGAGACATTGATGTTGACCAGTTTGATCTGCAGGACAAAGATGTTGATAAAGCAACAGATGTTGATATTTCACCTCCACACAGCAGAGAGCTAAAAGTAATGCTTTTCTTCACACAGTTGTGGGAAGTGCATGATGTTGGCTGGAGGGGCAAAGAAAAATGATATTGTTCTTCAAAGCAGCACAGAATAATCTTCACTTTCATTAGCCTGTCCAGCATCCAAAAAACATGCATGCTGAGAACAGAAAATCCCCTTCCCAAACAAACAAAAATCATTAATGTAGTTTCAACACAAATGGATTAACATCTGTTTTACAGATTTAAATTGATTGCACACAGTTAAATCAAGTTGAAAACCTTCTCCTGTGGGGGAAAAAATCAAGAATTGAGTTGATCCATTAATGTGTTGATACATGAAAATGAGTATTTTCCACTGTGGCCACTGCTGGTGCATCTTACCGATTTCCTCTTAAGGAACGCTAGACCTTTTTCAATGTTTGTTCTGTGCTGAAATGTCCCCCTTCCTTTTTCCCGGCTCTGAAATGAAGGCAGGTTGTGGTTATCACAAAATAACTGCTATTGTTTTTTGTAATAGAATGGTATATCTGCCAATATTTTAAGATTATCAAGCATGCCCACATGACCAAATAACAGCTCAGCTTGTGTCAGTTCCAAATCAACCAATAACCTAGTCAATGGATAGTGCACATTCTTCTGTTTTCAAACATTTTTGAGCAGATATGGAGTATAATTGTGCAAAATAAATATTAATCTCTTCTCATAAATCTCACAGTAAGTTTTATTATATTATAGGCGTACAGGTATAGATGTGTATGTATATTGGGCAATGGCCACTTTGCTCTCTAGATATCAGCATAGGTTTTTGAAAAATCAGTTGACCACTAATGAATCAGACACTTACCATTCTCTGACCACTCGACACCTCCAGCAGGTCCAAAAGTCTGCTTCCATCTCTGAATTCATTGAAAAGATCCACCACAGTAACTGGAGGACACCTCTGAGAAAGCAAAATAAAATACCACATATTAAACACCACATGGTATATACCATGCACATAGAATATACATTTATACCTAAACCATACAGGGGCAGACTGGGTTCTACATCTTTGTGTAGATCAGGGGCGTCAAACTCAATTCCTGGAGGGCCGGGGCCCTGCAGAGTTTTGTTCCAACCCTGCTCTAACACACATACCATGGCATGTAGTTTTCAAATAAGCCTGAAGGACTTGATTAGTTGGATCAGGTGTATTTAATTAGGGTTGAATCTAAACTCTGCAGGGCTCTGGCCCTCCAGGAATTGAGTTTGACACCCCTGGTTTAGATACAAATAAAATAAAAAAAATGATTAAAAGTAATGTATCCATCATCATATCTCACCTCAAAATTAAGAAAAAATGAAAGTTTGGCTTTTGTTGTTGTTGTTTTCAATTACAATTAAGCACATTACCCTCAAACCTTTTTTGTGTAAAATTGTATCGTTTGGAATATTGCTTAGTTTCCATTTACAGTTTTGTTTGGTAATAGAAGTCAATGTGCTCATAACAGATTTTCAGACATGTCTAGAGGACAAATCAAACAAGCTTGTGTGAACTCATCCGGTAAAAACTTTTTACGTGAAACTGAGAGCTCCAGGCATTAGTAAGTGTTTGCTGGGGAGACGGAGAAAAGAGCATATGAAATTATCTAAAATAACACCTCTTATCTGTCCTCTGTTCATGCATGTAAGACATCAAGCCACGACAAACTGATTGTGTCATTTGCTCACTTTATAAGTAGCTGTGGGTCTGAATATGTGTGTTCACGAGTGTGTGTGCTGAGCAACTCCTGTTGCTGTCTGTCTTTCTGGCCCATGTCTGAGAAGATTATATTTACCCCCTGCCCACCCGATTCCCTCTCTGCTATTGGAGAACCTGCAGGAATGACCTCTACCAAAAAAAAAAAACTCTCCATGTCCGTCATTTCTCTGTAATTTAGTTGCCGATTCTGATGTCATTGTTATTTACTGTAAATACACATGATTAAAAATAATGCAAGTGAAGTTTATGATGATTCAAATACACACAACATCATTGATATAGCTTTTCTAAATCAGGTTTAGGAGCTCTTGAACTTTGACCCTCACCTTAGACAGCTGGGCATTGATCCAGTTGGTGAAGGTTCTCTTCTGAATTTGCTCCTGCTCAACTGAAGGCAAAACAGACAGGAGAACATCATGAAAACCAGCATGTAGAAATATAGTGAGGGAACACACTTCATACAATTACACACACATGATCTGCAGGATTGAATCACTATGTGCCGTGTTTCAGTTCAATTCAAACAATGTCTAAGAATAGATCTTATAAACACATGAGCAAGAAACAGGTGCATTTGTATTCAACCAACGATAACATTTTGGAGGGTATAATGACACTAGTCATTTTTGTCTTTGTCAGTTTTAATACAAAAATGTGTACATTTTACCCTAATTACATTTTAACCCATATTCTTTTCACCCCAATTAAATTACATTTAAATAACATTTAAATTTTAATCTGTAGAAGAATAAACATGTATTTAAACAATGGGGAAAGAAAAAAAAACATTTGTTTGAGAGCAAATTCATTCATTCATTCATACCAACTTCTAAATAATTTGTGTGTGCTCCACATGAAACACAATACAGACCTAAAAGTAGTAGTCACATCAAATAGAGCGCCATTTATGTTTACCGTTATAAAGTTCCACAAAGTCAATGAGCTCATTGGCTGTGTGAAGAATATCTTTCTCCTCCAAGCTCTCTAACTCTACTTCTTCCATTCTTCTTCTTGAACAAGGACCCTAAAATCTCTCACAATATGACCAAGTCTACACAGAGCAGCTTTTACTAATACAGTTTTCTCAGTGTTGACAACTCTCTCCTCAAACGAACATGTGAAATCTTCAACCACTGTTTCTGCAAACCCCTTAAGACAAACCTGACTGCCAACCTGACTCTCTCTGCCAGCCTGCGGTGATTCTAAAAGAGCTCTCCCACATTAACTGCTAAACATGGCCACACTCACTATGAATAAGACTCTCAGGTCAGTTATCAGGATAATGTCTCAGAGATGTCGCTGTTGACCGACTGACCCACAAAGAGAGAACGAGAGAATGTGTGTTTCAATAGATTCCTTGACAGGATTGGAAGAGGTTGACATGTATCAGCAGCACAGGATGAGAGGAAGCTTTGAAACGGTTAATGTTATCAGCTGACACCCACGCTAAGTTTCCTAGGGATTTATTTAAAGTTCAGCTATCAAATACTAATGCACTTTTACACTTGACACAGTTAACCCAGGGTCATTTTACCCCGGAAAGTGATTCGTCAAGCACTGAGGAACTACACAATACTGTACATAATACTGTTTTGTTACACAACAGGTAAAAGAAACCTGTACACAAGGTGAAAAAAGACCCACAACAAAGGTAACCATCTTGTGAAAGTATTTGTTTATAATAAAAAATAACATTTGTTTATATATCATTTTATCACTCTGATGTGTTTCAGTCAAATGTAATTAATGACATTTATTAATGGCATCCATCTGTAGTCTTTAAAAAAAATCAAACTGCATGTTGCTGCTGTTAAGCAAAACAGAAACTGACACAGGGATCAGGTTTGGTTTCTGGGATTTGTAACTGAGGTAACCCACCAGAGACCTAGTCCATAAGAATGACTCGTAACTAAAAGACTTACAATGAAAGAGGCCAAAAGAAATGAGTGAGGCAAGTGCAGCGAGGGAAAAATTATGTGGCAGACACAAACTCAAAAACTGAATCATTAGCCAAGGTGTTGATCCACCTCAGAAAGAAAGATTTGAAAACAACAAAATCCTCCCAGTGAACACTCCCCTTTACTCGTGACATACTTTAAATGAACGCTACAGAAACACAATGACAGAAAAGACTGGAATCTAATGTGTTTTGGGAGGTGCAGTTCTTAAATCGTTAGAGACAACACCTCCCTTTGAGAGAACAACAGAGGGAGGGGAAACAAAAAGAGGAGATAAAAATAGAAAAGACACATAACATGGATGACAACTTTTGCTGATACTTCATTCAGGCGGTACAGATATGATGAACAAATGACTTTCATAATGATTCATAGCATTAGAGAGGTAAAAACAAATACACTACTATAACTGAAAGCTCCATGATTACTATAATCTTAAAGAACTCTTTCAAGACATACAGCCAATATTGAACGCTTTTTAAAAAAACAAACATTTCTATACAAATTATGTGCACTTTACCTTGTGATCCGTGTTTCTTCTTATGAGACCTTTCAGATGGGTATTCAACCCTGACCAAATGAGGCAACTTCTTTTTGTTGTCTTTTAAGGAGACATCAAAAGTGGTGATTGCACAATGATGTTCACGTGTGCATGATAGAATAATATTAATGTTAGTTAAAAAAAAAATTATTTTAATTATTGCACACTGTCTGGTCTATCTACGTTTAAACAGCATTTTGCAACAGAGGAACAAAAATATTTTTTAACTAATTTCAAACCAACTACAAACTCACCCATGCTGCTGTCAGCAGATTTGCTATTCCAGAATTCCCTGTATTATCATCAGTTGTTGCATGTTGAAGTGTGCAACAACAGAAATGTTTCAGAAACCAGCCTCATCTTGCAATGCAGCAAAGCAACGCAAACCTCCCACATTGAAATACTGAAGAACATGCGTCAGCTGTAGAACTGAAATCTACCATAAACACACGGCACAACTTGCCTGGTAACCTTTAGCGAAGTCATTCAGGATCACATGCCAGTACAGAAGGTTTCAAAAAAAGCTCCACCTTTTACTTATGCCAAAAGAAGCGCACACAGCATGTCCACACAGGTACTGATTAACGCTTCTCCTAATGCAGTTCTACTGTATCCTCAGGGCTCCGGCAGTGATCAACATGTTAAGACATTAATTATTCACTGATTCTTGAGACATGGAACAAATATTGTGCAACACAATTTCACCTGCCATCAGTTTTTAGTAATTTCCACTGACTTTTTTAGTTCATTTCAGAACTCTGACAGAGAGAAATATTACCCAATTCATAATGTCATTTTTTTCTAATGATTTCAAAATGACGGAACAAGTAGCCTGAAAACACATTAAAACATATTAGTTCTTGTCAAGTGATCGACCCCTCAATTCCACAAACGAGGAGTGAACAATTATGTTTTTTTTCAGAAGTAATCTTGCCTTAATTATTGCCTAAATCGTGTTCATTAAAGGAACAGTTCACTTCAAAATTGAACATTTGCTGAAAAGTTACTGATGGACTGGAGTTGTGTGGATTACTTGTGGATTGAACTCTCATTCTGACCGCACCCATGCACTGCAAAGGATCCAAGTGATATAATGCTAAATTTCTCCAAATCTGTTCCGATGAAGAAACAAACTCATCTACATCTACATCCTGAGGATGCACGAGTAAAGTTTCCAAGTTTTCATTTTTGGCTAAACTATTCCTTTAAGAAATCTTATCTACACATCCACATTACTTTACTCTCAAAACAACAACAAAGACACTACAATAGAGACAGCAAAGAATTTTGTGGATTTAAAAAAATGGAATTACCCACTCCCTGCATTCTAGAAAAACACTTTTTTGTGCAAGTCTTCATGACTCAGGGCAACAGAACTTTAATTACATTTATCTGTTACCAAACAATCTGCAAAACACGTGACCATGCATTATTTATGCCTTATTCAAGTCATTGATTCAATATCACAGCATAATGTGTTTGGGTGTATGTATTTGTGAGAGAGAGATTGAGAGAGAGATTTTAACCCATACCGTTTGGCATCACCAATAAATCACTTTAATCTGCTTTTGAATAAACAGATGAAGAAAGATTTTTGAATGAATGAATGAATTCATAGAAGCATCCAAAGTCCACTGAAAATTGCAATATATACATTTTGATACTGTCAAACCTATAACAGACAATGACAATGACACACCAAATCAGATATGAGATACTGAAATATTTTATTTTAGTTTTATGTTTAAAAAACTTCAATCTGACCTTGCAGTAGAATGTGGACATCATCGATGTCCAGTGGCAGTGAGCCACGTTCTCCGGGCAGGTCTTCAGATGTCCTCTTTGATGTCATTATTCCTACGGAGACAGGTCAGCTGAGAACAAACTGAGGCATTGCAGCATCTGTGGAGGAGACAGATGATGTCAAAGCAGTCCAGGTTTACACTCTTAAGAATAAAGGTGTTTTCACAAAATGGGCTTTCACAGTGATAACATAGAACTATTTTTGATTCCCCAAAGTAACCTTTCAGTTCAAGTTTTTTCCTGTGAAGCACATTTAAAAAAAAACAAAAAACTTTAAAATCTTCTATTGTGTTAAATGGAAAGTTTCCATGGATGTGAAAGGTTCTTTATGAAAATATAGATGTCAATAAAGAACCTTTATTTTTAATAGTATACTTTAACCTTCCTTTGACACCGGGGAGTATTAAGAGGCCTTTCTGATATGCATTTCTTTTTTGACTGTAACTTTTATGAAGTGCTTGTTTTGTAATTTAAGGAAGCATTTCTATAAAAGAGTATATTGACTTACAGAAATATGATACGGTCAAGCTGATTATTTACCTGAAAAATACCTTTTTTACACAGTCTTATGAAAATAGCAATTCCACTGCTAATGCTGGTTGTTTATGCTGGTATTTTCCTGCTAAAAATTAATTTGAGGACGTGTCAGTTGAAAAATCTATAAACTGAGTACTACTTAAAGCAATAGTCTCAAGATATAAAGTTTAATTTGAAATTTTTTTTTTTGCTGGTTTTTCATATTAGAGGTCATAGAAACAGAAATAACTATGAGTTTAATATTTTATCCATCATATTAAGACACATATGATGAGGAAATTGAACATACTGCACAGTAGCAATGACCCTTAAGTTCCTGTGGATAGACAAATAAAGCAATGGCCCCAAATGTCGTTTTTTTCAGAATCTGTGAGGCATGATTAAATTTATCGGCATTATTAAAGATTATAAATATTAGATAAACACAAATTTCAGTAAACAGTAAAATCAGAAAGTCATGGCAAAATGTCAGTCTGTGACCATGTGAATATGTGTCCTTGCAGCACAATGTGACTCTGCTAGAGAACAGAGGGGTGGAGGAATGTGTACTATCCTGAGCTGGACTCACAGGAACATGAACTTCTAAACAACAGCACAACAGCATCTCACAACAGCATCTAAAGCATTTCACACGTACAGAACGCAACACTCCCACAGGACGATCACCTAGAGCAGAGACAAATCTTTTATGGGAACATATGTCACTACGCCTAACCAGAAAACTCCAAATACACTGACAAGTGACAAAGGAGTGAAGTGTCTGAAACTGCCTTTGAACAAAACACTGGGCACGAATAGTGTTCTTTATTCACCCAGAATGTAGAACTGTTTACTAACTAACATTTTTAATTAAGCTCTTTATGCAACTTCATTACACCCATGTTTTTTCTATTTCTAACAGAAATCATTGCCAAAACAATAAGTAACAGCTAATCCCTTTGAGAACAATGAAAGCTGTAAGTAACTTTAAGTGCATAAGCTTTCCTCTCAGCAGGTTCACATACAGTGGCATAAAAAATTGCAAAAAAAAAAAATTGTCAATCGCAAAATATTTTATGTATATATGTATATGTGCATATATATTAAATTAAATTAACATATATAGGCTATGCAATTTTTTTTGCCATTGACTTGGTAGGCCACTGACTGTATGTGGGTTATTGTGTATGTTATTGTGTTTTGACCATTTGAATTAATAACTAAGTTTCCGCTGAATTGAGTCGTTATCAGAGTTGCATACAAAGGCAGCAGAAACGTTCCGCACACGGTCCAGAATAAACAGCGTGACCTCTTAAGCGCGCGTTGCGCGCTCCACGGGCCCAAAATAGCACAATATAACACACGTCAATATCAATATCAACCATCAAACACATAGGCCTACAGTATACGATTCTACTGCGTGGCTTTATGGCTTTATCTGAGCCCGACAGTACTCTTTTAAACTGAAAGCCTGTGCATTTGTAGTATATTATAGAGTGGCATTATATTTATTTTTACATGTATTTAGGATATTTTATAGTATGCATATAACGTTTTAAACTCTCAGAACAAAATTCACAACAACAAAGATAATTAATACATTAAAATAAGCATGGTGTTATTACGATTGAATCCGAGTTATGCGTTATTCAGTGACCTTGGATCTGTCAAGGTGGGTCTGTTCAGATGAACTTGAACTCTAGGCTACTTACATGTTTGGCAAAGTATGAAACTCTCTTTAAATGTCCAATTGCACCAGTGCTGAAAGTTTTCCGTCGTCAACTACAACAAGGACAAATACAAATCGTTAGGGAGTTCATATTGCTGCGTGTAGCGAAGAGTGAAGCTCATATATTCCCTCTCGTTTCCAGCTGAGCTCACGGGGAGAAGCGGCCGCGCGGCGGAGTGAGTGAGTGTAACCCGACGCGCCCGCGGGGGTCTCTAATTATAACGACCACTCAGGGCAGCGAGCGGACCTAAAGGAGCATAGCAGACAAACCAGTAAATTAACCCCCACGGTGCGAATTATCTGCGAAATTAAGCGAAATCTGCGTGGGGAAGTTTTTCGCCCTCAGGCAAAATTCCGGATCGCACGTATTCCTATTGAAATTAATTCGTCAAAAAAAAATTCGCACCTTAAAAGTTAGTCACTGCGTATATTTTTCACCAGCTGCTAAACAGTAATAACGAAGCTGAGTAGGCCAGATGAGGTAACCATAACAACAAGTAGCACAGGCTGCTCATAGACGGTGTGTCGATGAAGCATGATTAGTCATATACAGTAAACCACTTTAGACTTCAGATTCACATACAACAAATAGGCAGCACAAAACATCGTTGTTTAAAACATTATTATAGATTTACATAGGCTATAACAAGTTTGTCCTATAGAACTGAAGTGGCGCCAAATTACAACTTAATTTCATTTTTATATTTTAAACATTTACATTTCACATTTACACCTACCTACATGTTTACATATATTAATTTATCAGACACATTAAATAAATCCATAATTATTTTAAAATACTCGGACCTTCTTAAAGCCATTGCATCATTCTCACTGAAAAGCCCGCCAGCATCTACATACATATTGCCTACATTTAGCACACTTACATGCTAATTTAATTACAAAGGTTGTGGGACAACGTGATCTCTAGTCTGTGAGACAAGTGATTTTCTGATTAGATCAAGTTGGTTCTCTTAACCAAAATTTTTTCGAATTGACCACTAGGCGTCACTGTGGCATCATTTCAGAAAAGTTTGTTTAACGTTACTTGAAGTTGGTCTCAGTTTGTTTAATACTGACAAAAACACAACTTGTTTACTCTAAATAATACTTTGTACATTTCAGCTAATCACTATTCAGTAGTGTGCATGATATGAATTTGTTTTATTCTACAAGATGTTTTGTTTCTGTTCTACTATTGTTTTCTACACAAAATGAAAAAAAAAACAAACAAATCAAATTTCCCCTATAATTTAGTGGCCTCATGCAGATCAGTTCGTGTCTTTAGGATTCTGTTTGATTTGGCTGCATAGTTATGAGTCTATGCCTGTTTGTCATTCATGAAATCCAAAGATGTTCAATGTATTTTTTCCCCTAATTAAAAAAAAAAAACAAAGAATAAAGAATGTAATAAAGAAAATGATTTTCAGAGGAAATTAAGCCAGCACAATTGTCACCCTGCCCCCTCAGGTGTCAATTATATCAGAACTTTTAGGGAAAATCACTTCTTAGATTTTGCCACCATGTTGCCATGGTAAGTATCTGACTAAACTCTAACTGTTTGGAGCCTGACGTCTCATTTAACCTGTCCTGACACCTCCTTATATTCCTTCTGGAGCCAGGACTAGCCACAGCCCACAAGATGGATGGATGAATAGATGAATACATGGATTACAGGATGAAGGTGCTTACCATTCTCTTCCATCTGGATGATTCTGAACAAAAGGAGGTTCTTCCTCTTCATTAAGTTAATGGATGTACAGCTGATGTACCTGAGCAGCAGGTAAGACGTGCACAGATTTTAGAGCCTGAGGGGCTGGCTCAGTCTCCACACACATGGACTTATCGGCTCCTTCCCTGCTTGTCTATGGTCTTGTGTGACATCTCTTTATTACTGCTGGATGCAGTTGGCGCTACAGAGACAGCCTCGTGTGTTTTAGGTGGGGTTGACAGTGCCGTTTCTAATAAATTACAGATTTGTGCAAGTTCAGTGTAAGAGGTACTTCAGGAGAGGTGAAATCAGGACTGGAAGTGAGATTTCTTGCTGATTCTGGAGAGTTTAGCTGTTGCATCTGCCATCCAGGTATCTTTGACCTTGCTGAAACTAAGACAAATAGAAGATAAGTGAGATTTATGTTTTATTTTATTAATAACTGTTATTTTGTAAAAACAAAGACACCTGCTTTTAACCACTGAGAACCACAGTCACTGGAATCAGCAATGGCTCCTTTGAGGTCTGGAGCACAGGGGTGAGAAACTTACATAGTCCTTTTTACAGCACTTTATGGAAGTTATATTTATGGTATATAGCTTAAAAATATAGTAAACCAATAATGAATGAATCTTTGATAAAACAATAATGAATCTTGAAAATTTGGGGGTTTGTAAGGTTTTTAATGCAGTTTGTTTAATGTGAAATATTATTACAATTTAAAATAACTCCTATTTTAATATATTTTAAAATGCAATTTATTCCTGTGATGGCAAAGCTGAATTTTCAGTGTCACATGATCCTTCTAATATGGATCTGTCTTCTAATAAAATCATTATAATATACTGATTTGATGCTTAAGAAACATTTCTTATCATCAGTGTTTAAAACAAATACTGTGCAAACTATAGTTTATCATATAGTTATCATATATGATTTTTTTTAATTCTTTGATGAATAGAATGTTCAAAATAACAATTTATTTGAAACAGAAAACTTTTGTAAAGATTAGAATTGTCTTTACTGTCACTTTGATTAATATAATGCATCCTTGATGAATAAAAATACAAATTTCTTCAAAACAAATTAAAATAATATAAAATAAAATAAATATATAAAAAATCATGCTGACCTCTTTTGATTGGTAGTGTACTGTAATTTTGACAAAACTTTTAACGTGAACTTTTAACAACTTTAACGTAAGTAAAAGAAAAACAGCCCTGTTTTCATAGATCATTACAACTCAAAATATAAACACTTGTTACATTAATCAAGAGTAATTGCTTCATTTTCTGTAACCTACAGAGCATTTAACACTTAATCATTGTTCTGAGACACACAACCTCATCATAAACTCTCATTCTTTCAGTATGTGTGCTAGACTCTCTCTTGTAACTCTATGCTGTGTGACACTGGCTGTTTGGCTGTGTTGTGGAGCTCATACAGAGACTTCTGTGCTCAACCTGAAGCGTTTCATCGGCTGTGCAGTCAGAGAATTTTCCTTTCTGGCCCGTAAGCCGGGATGCAGTGGGCTGCACGTCACCACTGATGCCTGCTGGGGACGCTGTGAGACTTGGGAAGTAAGACTGATGTTATCAGCCCATGAAAAACACACATAAAAAGAGAGAAGAGCTTTTGCAGCACACCTGCAATGTGATCAATACTTATTCAAAACGATATGATAAACAATGTCAAGGTGAAAATGAATTTTAATGCATTGCAATTATTTAACAGGGTTTTATAATTCTCTAATATATGAAATAATAAACCCCCAGATCCTGTATATTACATAGTAGCATAAATAATAGATAATAATAATACAAATTGAAACAGCCAAAAAGTTGACTGTTTCATAAAAATGCAAAGATATAATATTATAGTTATATTAGAGAGATTCAATTTGCAAAATAAATGTTGATTGTGTTTAAATGTTACACATAGAGCAGTTAAAAGCACTTTGGGAACAGAACTCATTTTGACCCAAATAATCATTTTCCAAAAATGAAAAAAAAAAAAAATGAACAGCTTTTCCTTTAGTGCTCTTAAGAGAAAGGCGGAGAACCTCTTGTGCTGATTGCTGGAAATTAAAAGGAAAAAATAACAGAAAATAGAGAAAAATGGTTGAGATATTTTTGGATGTGTATGTATTTTTTGGTTCATGACGATTTTCTGCAATAAATGTTTTACAAAAAGTATTATTTACTGCTCTTATTATTGATAAGAGCATATCTGAAGGAGAGTGACGGTTTATTTTCTATGTGTACACTCAGAAAAAACAAAAAAATATGTTTCATGTGCTAACATCGAAATCAACTACTTTTTATTACTCAAAGATATAACCGAATATATATACCTCATCCTCACTACATTAGGTCAATTCAGTTTTAAGGGTCAGATCAGGACAACATTCATTTTTGAAGAAAAATTGCCTTCAGGGACACATTTCAATTTCAGTAAATGTTATTTGGGTTGGAACAGACATTGAGACATTATTTAACATATTTAATTAAAGATTCTACAGTATATTATTAAATATTAAACTTTAAAGATGCTCTTAAGTGCACAGTCTATCTAAAAAATAAATCAGTGCCCAGATGAAAAGTCCTCATTATGACATCCGTCTGATTCACACCCTTCTCTTCACCTGTCAATCACTGCAGAAACCAGTCCTGGACCCGCACTTCATCGAGTCGCACCAGCGCGTGTGCACTTATAATGAAACTCGGTTAGAGACGGTGCAGCTGCCGAACTGCTCCGCAGACGTGGACCCGTCCTACACATATCCAGTGGCCCTCCGGTGTGATTGTGGGGTGTGTCTCACCAGCACCACTGAATGCATCACTTCGGTCTGATGGAGAAATCAGCCTCCACTTTAGTTATGGTTAAAACACCAAAGAGCATGTGCACTGCAGGAATAAAATTAATCAAAAATCAATTTGTTTGATGTCTATGTACATGTGGGAGAGATTTTACTTTCAAATGGTCACTGTGTGTTACATTCTCATCTTTTTTGTATTTTCCTTCTCCTTTTTTCATGAAAAGAGCAAAACTGAATAAAACTGCATTACTGCAAACACCACACCTGTGGTCTTCTGTCATTACCTGAAAAAAATATTGTAGCTATAAGCCATTAAATTATATAGCATTTTGGGTTCTATCCTCTTCTTTTAATTGAAACCGAAAAACTACAAATCCTCATGCACTAGCATTTATACAATGTATTAAACTGATCAAAAGTGACAGTTAAAGGCATTTATAATGTTACTAAAGTTATGTTCATTTGAACTTTCTATTTATCAAAAAGTTCCTTCTTTAAAAAAAAATTAGCGCAATTTACATTAAAATATTAGCAAAACTGTTCAACATTGATAATAATAAGAAATGTTTCTTGAGCAAACAAAAAATAAATAAATAAGCTTATTAAAATGATTTCTGAAGGATCATGTAACAATGAAGTCTGGAGTAAAGGCTGCTGAAAAATCAACTTTGCCATCACGGGAATAAATCACATGTTAAAATATATTAAATTTAAAAACAGTTATTTTTAATTGTTAGAATATTTCACTAAAATACATTTTTTTACTGTATTTTTATCAGCTTTGGTGAGCATAAGAGACTTCGTTCATTTAAAAAAATTGGTTGTACTTTATTTGACAGTATTTGTACTTACAGTGTACTTACCTAAGAACGTTCTGGTAATACAAGGTAACTACATAGGGTAGGGTTAGGTTTAGGGGTAGGTTCAGGGTTAGTACCTAGTTATTATATAGTTATTGTAATTACTATAATAAGTACATAGTATGTACATGAGGAACAGGACTGTAACCCCAAACTTTTGAACAGAAGCATGTTTCATTATTTCCATATAAATGACCTTAAATAATCATACAGTAAATAAAGGCTGCGATTTTAAAAAAAATACTGTATAATCCGATGGCCACAGTGCATGATAGGTAACAAAAGCCAAGTACATTTTTTTGTTTTTCTTATTTGTCAGGAGATTTGTTGTGTGTTTGTTTTGTAGATGGTAGAGGCAAAAGTCTCGTGACTATGACACATATGTGTGATAAAGAAATCATTAGGGGGTCCAACCACCTGCTCAATGCTGCTCTCATCTCAATCACTGACTCATAGTGTAATGCCATTTATAGTCATATATTTACCACCTGCTCTTGCCTTTCCATCTAAGGCCAACCAGACAAACCTTTTCTCCATTTAAACTTTAATGTATTTACTTTACATTTGCTGATCTCACACATACGAATAATGTATAATTTATAAATTTCTCATCATCAGAATACTGCAGCACTGAAGACTAATTTTTCTGAATGCTGCATTACTGTGAGTTCACATGTCCCAGCAGTCCCTGCATGATAAATTATTTAAAACCTCACTAATGTGAAAATGATGAGAAAACATTTCCCTCTCCTATTCTGGCATTGTATTGAGTAGCAGATGCACATGATTATTACCTTTTCCATTATAAACCTGAACACAGTGTGTAACGCCTCAGAGGTCAAATTCAGCAGTTTCTGCACTGGAAATTACATTTAGGTCCAGCAGTTTAATATGGTTTCATTTTGTTCCACAATCACAAATGTGTGCAGATTTTGTTCTGATAAATGTGGTGGTTTCTTCACAAGAGTGGGACAAAAATGTTGTTTATCATTGCGACAAAGATGTACTTAAAATAAGGGCAGCTGTGGTCCTGGTTTCTGAAAAAATAAATAATTAAATTAAATTAAATTAAAATTAAATTAAACTAATTTATTTTCTCAAGATACTGCAGACCACCTCAAATATTTTTTTTCAAAGAAATCTGCCAGTCTTCGACCCGAGTTTGGCGGGGTTCGGCCTCGGCGAGATTTAGCAAGTCAACAATTCAACTTTGGGGGGCGCTATCCCCGACCCCCGGGGGGCTATCGACTCGGGGGAGGTGGCGTCGTATAGGGGGCCTCGAGGTCTATCTTCGACCTGAGTTTGGCGGGGTTCAGTCTCGGCCTCTGCGAGATATAGCCGATCAAAATTTCAACTTTGGGGGGCGCTATCCCCGGCCCCCGGGGGGGCTATCGACTCGGGGGAGGCGTCGTCGTATAGGGGGCCTCGAGGTCGATCTTGGACCCAAGATTGGCGGGGTTTGGCCTCGCCAAGATATGGGCGGTCAAAGTTTAAACTTTGGGGGGCGCTATCCCCGGCCCCCGGGGGGCTATCGACTCGGGGGCATCGTCGTCGGATAGGGGGCCTCGAGGTCTATCTTCGACCCGAGATTGGTGGGGTTCGGCCTCGGCGAGATATAAAAGATCATGTGACACTGAAGACTGGAGTAATGGCTGCTGAAAATTCAGCTTTGCCATCACAAGAATACATTTCCTTTTAAAATATATAAAAGTAGAAAACAGCTATTTAAACCGTAATAAAATATTTCACAATATTACTGTTTTACTTTACTTTTGATCAAATAAATGCTGCTCTGGTGAGCATAAGAGAGTTCTTTAAAAAACATTTTTTTAAAAATCAACCCCAAACTTTTGAATGCAAGTATAATTCCATATAAATTATCTTAAACAATCGTGGTAAATGTTCAGGTAAATGTGGTGGTTTCTTCACAAAAGTGGGACAAAAATGCAGATCAGTTCAATTTCTTTCCACAGAGTTGTGTTTGCAAAATATTATGAGAAGCTAAAACTGAATTCTTGATTTTGAGTCATGCAATATAAAGTGTTGTAAAGTGCAGTTACAAGATACTATTTCCCCCATTTTAACTCCGTGGCAAAAACCGTGTGTGGGGGTACAAGAGGGGGCCTCCAAAAAAGGTTGATGCCTTAGGGCCATAATCCATCCTTGCTTTTGTTCAACGTTGTTCCCAGTGATTTTGTTGCTACGCTAATGTTGGCATGTACGATATTCACCAGCATTCCTAGAAATGTCAAGCCTCCCCCAATGCTACCTTTGTCCCAGATTAACTGCCAAAATTACCCTTCTGTTAAATCACTTCCATTCAATTAACTGTCAAATAAACAAACTCTAAATCTGGCCCAACTCATGGGCAAGACAGGATCTTTCAAACAACTCGAGGCATTTGAGCTGATAGGCACAGATCCATCCAAATGAGGTTCTAAATATAAGCAAGAAAGAAAAATATGGGAGAGAGTGTACAGTCTTCTTACACATCATCTCTCTCTCACCTTTACGTTAATTTATTTTTGGCCTTTTTAAATACTATTATTTATTGTCTGCACTATATCAAGCTCACTAAATAACTAAATCATAATGTAAATGTTTGTGATAACCAAATTTATATCACTGGACAATGAATATAATTCATTTCTAAATAGACTTGAGTCCACAACATTATATGTCCAGGCTAAAATGAGATTATTCATTTTTGAAGGGCAGCGATTTTATGATTACTTTCCTATGCTTCAATGCTTCATATCATCTTAAGTTTACGCTGATATGTTTCAATATGCTCTGTCAAAAGGCATAGAGATTGACAGAGAAAAGAAAGCAACACGAAAAAGAGAGTTAGGCCATGTGACCTTAGCTAGAATATTAGCTTGCATGCATCTGATATCTGAAAAATCTGATCAGTAAGAATCTAATAATTCCCATTCATCTTAATTGCAGTATATAGCTACTGCAGAATGGATTTAGAAGTTAATGCTAAAAGATGCTTTCGAGCAGCAGAGTGGTAGTTTTAACAGGGGCTAAAAAAAAATAATAAAAAAAAGGTAACTAGCAAAACTCTTGACCCCTTGGTCTTTTTCCTGATCTATATACTGTAGAACAACAGCTCATTGAGACCTTGAGACCAACCAAAACTGGGAATATTTAGTAAACAAAAGGCAGACCTCATCTTATATTCAATACAGCACAGTCTTTTGTTTTAAATTCACAAACACACATTACTGCTGAAATGGGCTTGTATTTGTGAAACAACATTTATGTGTGTGAGAGTATATAAAAGAATATAAAAGCACAAAACTAATATTTTAAAACCAAGCCAATCCCAGATCTTTAGCAAGCTCAGCAAAAAGAGAGACAGAGTGAGCGATAAATGGATTGTAATAACAAAATCTTGAGGGCTTGATGCCAAGCTGCAGCACCACTACCTGAAAATTGACGTCAGCTGAGAGCTTCATCTGTCTTTCTTTTGTAGAGAACTGGATCGAACCAGCAGGACCGTAATACAGAGTGCTGCACTCTTAACCTGTGCTGGTACATTTAACTCTGTGCTACCTGGACACAAAGAGGGAGACATTATTAAGCAGCATTATTTAAACATATTTTTAAAAATCAAGGAAAATAGTTATGAAAAACTAAAATATAAAAAAAAAAAAAAATTGAAATACAATGTATATAAATCATTTATAATGTTATCTTGCATACGAGAACAAAACATTGTGGTTTACTCTTACAATTATAATTTTTTATTTACCATTTTTTATTAAGGTTGCATATAATACAGTCAACAGATATACAGTGGTGAAGCTGCATTTCAGGCCCAAAAGCTGCTACTGGTGCTATATAAAAAATAAAACAAGTCCAATAACATTGAGTGGAACATAAATGAAGGGCCTAAACCCTCCAAAATCCTGACACATTAAAATATATATATAAAAAAAAATAAATAAATAAAAACAGACCTGTCCTACACTAACCAGTGCAGGTTTTTCTTCTTCAGCTTTATTTCAAGAGTGATGTTTAGGTCCTTTAAGGCAAAGTTCTTGAATGCTGTCAAAGTCATTCATGCATACGTAAATGTTTCAAACATGACACTTTCTTCCTCAGTGATCTGTCATGCTACGTTTTGATAAAAACCTGAATGTAAATTATGGTGATATCAAGACAATCAACAGTCTCTTTCATTTAAACATTGAAAATAAGCATTCTGTGAGAATAAAAAGATCTGCATGCAGTTAACTGCATAATATACAAGCATTTAAATATAATTTCAGTTGTACAGACGTCATCAGGGTTGAACATTTTTGGCAAGCCAGAACCCAGCTGGACTTGCATTATATATACTGTACAAACTCACACTGAAAAAGGGGAGAAGGGGGGGGGGGGGTAGTTCCATTACTTCAGTGTGCAAAAAAAGGGCTGATTGAACATTAAAGCACTAAACTAAAAATCCTCTTATTTTTGTATTTATCAGTACATGCCACTGTTCTCTGATTGGGTTAGAGTTCCTGGCAGTTATTTAGATCCAGAAACCAACTCCTGTTCCCATACAGATATTCAGGTGTCAGCTTTATCCTCAGAAATCCGAAGCTAGAAACCAACCCAAGCTCCTATTTTGGGCGTTCCTGTATAAGCTGCAGGTACAGGTGCCAAATTTGGATGCACCAAAACCCCAGTGATGCTACAAATGCTTCATCTCAAATACTTACTGAATGCAAAGTCTGTTTTCCTATGGCAAACCCTCGTCCTTTTCAGAGTCTGGCGTACTGAGTGTGGACACTGGGATGCTGCTCTGTGCTTTGAGTTTGGGTCGGTGCATTTTTGAGGTTGGATCTTCACTAGACGTGGGCTTTGAAGTCTCTAAAAGCAGCCTGAGAATTTGTCCGACCCGTTCTTCTAAAGCTGCCATCCTTCCATTCAGGGCTTGGATGTCTTTCCGCAGCTCCAGCCTTGCCTCCTGCAGCGTGGCCTGGAATGAGCTCTCGCTACTGGGGTAAAAATCCCGGGCTGATCCTTCTCCTCCACCGACTCCAGGAACAGGGCTCTGGGGTTCTGAAACCCTATCCAGTCTCTGGTCGCTGTATGTCAAGCCACTATCCCAAGAGTACGTTTTGCGGAGTGAATTCTTCCTGGATGCTCCAACCTCCTCAACACTTTCTATCTGAACTTTGACTTCTGGTGAAATGCGCTCCATGGACATGGACTTAGCTGCATTGTTCAATCCCTCTTTCCTCTCATCCGCTGGAGGTGAACCTGGGGCAGCCATGTTGTTTTTCAGTCTCATCCAGCCACGGGCGGTTCCTGCGGGTTTGGTCCGTGCGGTGTTATTCACTTTGAGTCGATTTGCGACTTGGTCACCGCTGGCCACAGCAGGTTTGAGTTCCATGATGTCGCGGTTGTTCTGCTTAATGGAGTCGGCCGCTTTAGGGTAGGCCAGGCAGTTCTGGATGGGTGTGATCTGGGAGATGGTGACCACGCTGCTGGTGAACCCGTTCTGAACCGCGTGCAGCGAGTTCTGCATGAGGGAGGTGTGAGGTTTCGGCATGCGTGTGGGCTGCTGTAGATGCTGCTGATTTTTCTCCAAGTCCAGCTGGGCCGAAGCGCCCTGGTTACGGAGCTCTTTCTGCTGTTTAAACTTCTGGAAAAGTTTTCGGACCGGGTGGTCCACAGGAATGGTGAGTGGAACCTCATTCTTTGAGCGCTGCCTCTCTTCTTCCTCCTTCTTCACGTCGCTGATTTTCCGGAATATAAACTGGATATGAAGAGAAGAAATACCATCAGTTAGATAGGAAAGGGCATCTACAAGAATTCTGGAAACAAAACTTTCACTTAGCTAAACATTCTTTTTGTGTAATTTGACCAAATTCCTTGTTTGTATGACTTTTTATGCATGTTGAGTTATTAAAATTGCTTTCTCTATTATTTAAAAATCATAATCATAAAAATAGCTTTAGAAAAGACAAAATGTCTGAACATTCAATATAAAATAGTAACATGAATATCAAAAAAGAAGTGCATACCCCAGTATAAAAATGAAACATTTAACATGTAATAATAGGAATTTCATCATAAGGGTATTACTGAAAATGTGTGCTGTGTTGGGAAAGAAAGATTTAAATTATACATGTTTTATCTTCTTCTCCTGCCGTCACACTAAAGCTTCCATTTTTTGTCTTGCCATAGTCTGCCCACAGACTACCTGCATGTGTTTGGAGAATCAGTCTTAAATTATACATCTGTTGTTCTCTTCACCCTCTCTTTGTTTTTGTTTTTCAGATCCCATTTTATCAACACATGAAAATCATCAAGTTCTTTACTGAAACTAATATGAGGTGATGGAATCATTTAGTTCAGCTGATAATATTTATTTACTTATTTACTTTACTTGTGTCTTTCTCTCAAGTTAATGTAAAACATGAACAAGGTTGGACTAGAGACGTAAGCAGATCAATTCAATAGCTACTAACAAACCATTATAAAGATAAACATTATAAAGAGATTTTTATTCTCTATATCAATTAAACAGACTTTAATATTTTTACATTTGTAAATGATCAATGTTATATCTGCACCACTAGCATCACATAATGGAATTGGGGGTGAAAACCCACTATCCATCCATCCATCCATCTCAGTGCTGCCATGCTGAACAGAATTTGATATTTATGATAATTATGATACAAAATCAACCTACAAATGGCTAACTTGTCTATTCACATTGAGCTAGGACGAGAACAAATTATTTTAAGTTTAGCAGAATAACACGCACATCACCCATTTGCCTGTTTTTCTTAAGAATCTGCTTTGTTTTGAAGAATCCATACTGAGAGCATTTGACTCTTAAATCTGAAACTGATGGATTGGTTCAGACACTGGAGCTCACAGACAGAGAACGGCCGTCATTCTCTTTCGCCCTTTTTCTAAAAGTCAGCAAAACAAGAGCTGAACAGTGCAACATTCTCCATTTGAACATTACAACATTTTCTGTCCCACTGAGGCTTTGTTTGAGATCACACACCTTCCTCTGACACACAAAGTTCCTGGCACAGAGTTATTCACACAAAACTAACAGAAATTATTTAATGAGTTCCAATCACGGAGAGAACTGCCAGCATGTGTGTTGTTTTTTAATAACGTTAGGAAATGAAAGCTCATTAGAACCTATTCCTTCTGACCCCTTTCAAGGCAGTAATTGCTTGTATGCCTTTTCAACACATCTGCAAACAAAGTTTTATGAACAACACAGAAAATTTGATTTCACTAACTGCGGTAAAGCTGGGGATGAACTGGCCATAAAAGGATCACAGGGATGCTGGGACAGTCGTCTTGTAGGCTTGCTGTCAAAACAATTTAAATATACAAAGCAAAAACAAAGATTTGAAGAGAGAAAAGGTTCTGACATCTTCTGGCCGGTCCATTATTATACATGATAAAATATTTAATAATTATTATAAAATATTGAATAATTATAATAAATTCAATCATTAAATTAAATAATTTAAAAATATGTATCAAAATATAAAAGACACATGAATTTTCATAAATACAAAATATAATTCTAAATATTATTTTATACATTTATAAATTGCATATAGAATATTTAAATAGTTAATAATTACAATTAGTTATTAATTAATATTAATACATTATATGAAAAAAATATAAATATGTATTATGTATGATAGAAATATTAATGTATTATGAATATATAAATATGTTTTATTTATATTTTTAAGCCCCACTCAATATATCATATTGAAACTTATTTTGGATTTTCTGCTCGGCTTTAGATGAGTCTTCTCTAATAAAAGTTGATCATAACAACTTGTATTAAAAAACAATGACAAACTGACTCTGTTCATATTCTCACTGGACAGTTTGTGACTGGCCCCTGATTGTTTTTTTTCTCTCTGTCTTTCTTCTTTCCGACCCCCATCACTCCTTGTGACAAGAGCCCTCAGAGAAAGGTTCAAATTAAGGCAGAACCTCTGATGTTATTAGTGGACATAACCCGAGCAATTAGTGCATGAAGAGAATGTGAGTGATTAAGAGATAGAGGCTCTACTCAACTAAACCTCAAAAACATGAACACAATTAACACTATGGCCCAAAAGTAAATGCAACCAATAGAAGTGGAGAAGATTTACAGCATATTCTGTAATTACAGCATAAGGAAATTACATTGACTGCTGCAAAAGTTGAGATAATGCGCATTATGACATTGTAACTGTGTACCCTCTTGCGGAAAGGACACAATGCAAATTTGGAATATGCATATTCAGATTTGTGAAATGCATATGGTAATATCAGAGAAATTAACATTGCCAGAAGGCATGTTGTATAAACATTTACTGCATAAAAAGGTGCAGGACTGAAATATCTACATGAAAGTCTATAAATGCTTTCATATGGCAGAAGAAGAGGCCTTTATAAACTCATAAACTCCAGCCTCAGTCTGGGTCAGAGCCATTATCACATTCTTTACGGATCCGAAGCAATGATACAGTTTGAAATTTTCAAATGGACCGACTCACATTTACCTCAATGGACTTTAGCATCTCACTGTGTCTAAACAATCGACAGCAGTGGCTGACCTGACTGTCCTTCCCTGAAGGAATATCACACACAATGCACATCACAGCACAGCAATACGGATCACAATTTCATGTTTTTTTCTTGTATTAAAGCACACTGACAACGTCCTTTCCATATTGGAATAGCTATTTTAAGATTCCACTTCTGATCTCGGAGCAACAGACTGAAGGATTAATGCACTGCATGGTGTGTGTTCACCTGTAACTGTCAACAGAATAAGAGAATGAAAGATAAAAAAAAAAAAAGAAAAAAAAAAAGCTGTCATGACGAATGTGAGTGCTGAGGTCAGTGGAACAATTAAAATACTCTATAGCAACCATAAGACAGACATCATATATCCATTAAGCCAATAGCTATCAGATTGTCTACCTCTGTAAACATATTTAAAACCCATCTTAAGATATATTTGTTCGATGAGGCCTTTGGTGCTTTGTGAGGACTACTGGTTTGGATTAGATGCATTTATATTAGTTTATTTTTTTATTTTATTTCATTTTTCTCTTGCTTTATTGTATTATCTATCTCTTTCTTTGTATTTTATTGTGTTTTATCTAATTTCTTTGAAATTGCACAGCACTTTGGTGTTTTTTAAGGTGCTTTATAAATAAATTTTGATTTGATTACTCCAGTCGCTGATTTAGTTCTCAAGAAACAATTCATATTATTATGCTGAAAACCAAAACTGTGATGCACTACCATTCAAAAGCTTGGTGTTATTGATTTATTTATTTAAAAGTAATAATAATAATAATATTTTTATTCAGCAAGGAATAAAATTAAATTGTTTAATTCTAAATTGTTTTAAAAGAGTTTTAAATTGTTTAAGAGAAAGTACGCTTATAATGTTACAAATTATTTCCATTTCAAATAAATGCTGTTCTTTTGAGCTTTCTATTCCTAATCTTAAATCCTACAAAATAAAAAATAAATAAAAAATATATAATTTCCACTAAAATATTAAGCAGCAAAAACTGTTTTCAACAGGTTTTGATAATAAGAACCATTATTGATATTTAAACACCAGTAATGATTGAGCACCAAATAAACATATTAGAATGATTTCTGAAGGATCATGTGACTGACTGTGTGAAGCACTGAGGTTTAAGTGACTTGAAATGGCACAGAAACCTGTTAGCAACACCATTGCATAACACATCTAGGACACACACACACACACACACACACACACACACACACACACACACACACACACACACACACACACACACACACACACACACACACACACACACACACACACACACACACACACACACACACACACACACACACACACACACACACACAAACAAACTGCCATCCCGCAGTGGGGAAACGTCTTCTCTCTGACTAGAGGTAATTGGCTCAAAATGTGTCCACAGCATTTACTGCTGAGAATCACTGACAAATGCTTCAGACCCTCTTACTGTCACATTACAGTTAGGAGGAAACCAGGTGTGCTCACACACACATAACTCCTCCTCATTATATACTAATAGACAATGTAACCCCATCTTAAAATGTAAGAATCCCCACACAGGTGGAGAAATAAATAAAATTCCCTGACATTACGGCAGTGAAAATATCACATACACACAAGCTTTCAGATTTACAGCTGCCAAATCACTCCAAGTCCCTTTCATGCATTATTGCCAGCAAGTGAAAAAAGCAGGCCTGCTCCGCTCCTCCATCAATCTCTCACTCTCTAGAATGTTCTGGAAGCACTCGAGAGAGAAGCCATTATTCCAAAGAGGAAATCGGCAGGGAAGTCTCACCTTTTTGCCTGAGGACCTGTGTGTGCATCTGTAGGGAGGTTGCTGTGTGTATCCATGATTAGATAGGACTGGGCCCATATTCACAAAACATTTTAAGGCTAAAAGTAGCTCATAACTTGCTTATTTAGGAGAAAATCTTAAAAATAATGGGCGTGTCAGTCCTAAATTTAGGACTCCTACACTTTTGCTCTAAGCGTGTTTGCTCTAAAACTAGCTCCTAAATCTGTGAAACGTTAGGTGTAGTGAAGAGGACTCCTAAGTCACTAAGACCAAGTCACAAACTATCCTAAAATGGCTGTTGCCGGCAATCTACCTCGGAACAGAAACATTTTAGAAACGTTTGACGATAATGAGCTTTTAAAAAGGTGTCGCCTTAATCACG